GTATTGACAATATATATATATATATATATATATATATATATATATATATATATTGTTAGTCTTTATGGAATCTGATTGTGTTAATCAATCAGATTGTGTTATTGTCTCAAACCTCAAGTCAATTTCACATGCTTGCTGGGGGCTCTACTTGCGATTTTTTTGTGTGCAATACCCTGACGTTGTGTACCCGAGCGCCCCGAAACTGTGTTCTCAAGCACCCAAGCGCTGATCAACAGAGCGTAGAGCACCACAGCCCTGCGAGTTTGAGTGTCGTAGCATCATCAAACAAAGGTTTGAGTGTCGCAGCGCTGCGAGACTAGACGAGCTAGACAGTTTTCTTTCTCTTTTTTCTCAAGGGTTGTGTCCCTTGGTGGATATAACTGACTTTCTCTTGTATTTCTGGTATAGTAGAAGCGTGAGAAAGGTGCATGCAATAAGTGAAGCAAATGAGAGAGTGAGAGAGAAGAGAGATTTTTACTTATTCTCCCCATTTTTATAGTGAATTTCTTGGTGTAATGTGGCTCCGTGGTTTTTTTCCCTAATTTGAATTTTTCACGTTAAATCCTGGCATCCTTTTTTTTCTACTGCTTTTATTTTCTTATGTTTCATCTGTTTCATTTACAGTGCTTTACTCCTCATCCCCAACAACTCTTTCTCTCTCTTTCTCTGTCTGATATCAATCAATGAAACAATAATCTTAATATACTTGGCATCCATTTTGCATGCAATACAAAATTTAAGTGGAAGACAACTGAGAAAATAAACTAGAGAATTGCAAAATCTTCAATTTTTTTTAATGACCATAGACCCCTCAAATTTAGGGGCTTTCTGTATGGTAAAGCATGGAGAAGAGTTAGCTTTGCGTAGTCTGATCTCCTCTCTACAAATATTGTTTTTATGATTCAAATATGTTAGCTTCTTAAAAATGACAGAAGCTTCCTTCCTTAATGATCATTGATCCATCACATGTAGTGCGCATGAATCTTCTTGTCAATGTAGGATCTGAAGAGTTGGCTACGAACAAGTTTAAATATAAATAATTTGACTTTTTATACTTAGATTATTTTCGAGTTTATAGTGAGACTAATCTAAGTGTTATCTGAATTTTCATGCTTTCTGTTAAGTGCTTAACTTGTAACATAACATTTCTGTTTTGTAGGGACTTTGGTTGGGTCTGATTTGTGGTCTCTTCTGCCAAGCTTGCACTCTATTGGTGATCATTAATAGAATTAATTGGTCCAGAATTGGGGTTCAAGTTGTGGATAAAGAAGACCAGCAGCATGTTTGACTTATGAGTATAAAATTTTGTTGCATTGGAGTTTTATAATTATTTTCTTTGTGGTATTATATTATTAATGGAATGGATCCTCTTTGTATTGGAGTCTAATAATTGTTGAATAAGGAGAACAAACACAGCCAGAGATAGAAAGGAATAAAAGTTATTTTCATTTCATAGTTTTCTCTCTAATACAAATACATATTTATAGACTAAGTACAGAGATACATCAAGGTAACTAAGTACAGAGATACATCATGGTAACTAAGTGCAGAGATACATCAAGGTAACGGTAAGTCAAGAAGCCGTTTTGATGACGTGGCAAGAAGCTGATCTTTTGCCGTTCAGGTATATACAACAGCCCCCTTCAAACCAATGATGAGTTAGCAGTGAGTTTGCTTGTTAATTGTTTGAACCGGAGAATGGGCAGGGGCTTGGTAAAGATATCGGCGGTCTGATCATTAGTACAGATATGGTGTACCGCGATGTGTTTGGCTTGTATGTTGTTCCGGATGAAATGACAATCCACATCTATGTGTTTGGTTCGAGCATGGTAGACTGGGTTGTTGGCGAGAGCGATAGCGGAAGTGTTGTCGCAATGAATGACAGTAGGTGTTGTTTGCGGTGATTGAAAATCTGCTAGAAGTTGCCTTAGCCAAAGAATTTCGGCTGCCTCTATTGCAAGTGAACGGTATTCGGCCTCGGTGGAAGAGCGAGCTACGGTATTTTGCTTCTTTACCTGCCACGATATAAGAGAGGTACCCAAGAAATTACAATAACCTGATATAGAGCGACGGTCGTCGGAGTCACTCGCCCAGTCAGCGTCCGAGAAGCCTTGTAGTTGAAGAGATCCTTGTCGGAGAGGAATACCAAGGCTAGTTGTCCCGTTAATGTATCAAAGTAGCCGTTTGAGCCCGTTGAAATGTTTGCATAGAGGTTTGTGCATGTGTTGGCTTAAGGTTTGGACAGTGAACTGAATATCAGGTCTCATTAAAGTCAGGTACTGAAGAGCTCCGAGGAGTTGACGGTATAGGTGAGGGTTCGCAAAATCTTCCTGTGCTTGGGCGGTGAGATTGAGTTTATAGGAGATGGGAGATGAAACGGTGTTTGTATTTAGCATGCCTGCTTTATCCAATATGCGTTGAGCATACTGTTTTTGGTGTAGGATGACGCCATCATAGATGGGGATGGATTGGATGCCCAGAAATTGGGCTAGAGAGCCGAGATCTTTCATGTGAAACCGAGAGTGGAGATTTGTGAGGAGGCGATTTATGTCAAACTGGGAATTTCCGGTGAGTAGAATATCGTCGACGTAAATAAGTATATACATACGGGTTGTGCCGTGGTGGTATGTAAGAAGAGAGGGATCGGCAGAGCTAAGCTTGAACCCGAATGTAATGAGATGATTTGAAAGGGTGGCGTACCATTCTCGAGGTGACTGCTTGAGTCCGTATAAAGACTTCTTGAGCCTGCAAACGTAATTTGGGTGAAGGGTATCTTGGAAGCCTTGCGGCTGCTGCATGTAAACAGTTTCAGATAGTGTGCCGTGTAAAAAAGCGTTGGAAATGTCAAGTTGATGAATATTCCATTTATAATGTAAAGCAATAAGAATAAAAACGCGAACCGTAGGCATTTTAGCAACGGGGCTAAAGGTTTCTGTGTAGTCGATCCCATATTCTTGATTAAAACCTTTAGCAACGAGTCTAGCTTTATACCTGGCGATAGTGCCGTCTGAGTTGAGCTTTGTGCGAAACGTCCACTTGCAGCCTAAAATGTTTTGATCGGGTGCAGGAGGGACTAGCTCCCATGTCCCTTGTTCTTGAAGGGCTTGAAATTCTTGTGACATGGCTAGGCGCCAATGCGGAGATTTTGAGGCTTGAGTGTACGTGGTTGGTTCGAGAGGTTGAAGAATGTGAGAAAGGTCAAAAATCTGTTTGGGTTTTGCGTTGCCAGTTTTCGAACGAGTTAGCATGGTGTGGCTATTGGGTAGAGTTCGTTGTTTCGGATGGTTTTCAGTCGCGTTGTTGGGTGAGTGAGAGATGTCTGGAGCAGGTTCATTGTTCGAAGGTGTGGAGGTGGTGTGATGGCTACTGGCATTGAATGTGGGTGACTGGGTTGGTCTAGAGCAGATTTGTTGATTAAGTGTAGTAGGTAATCCAGTGGACGGGACGAGAAGCAACGGTGGGATATTGGGCTGGGTGGTATTAGACGGGTTTTGAGTGGCTGTGGTCGTGTGAAAAGGAAAGATAGCCTCGTTGAAGATCACATGGCGGGATGTGTAGATTTGGTTTGTGTTAATGTCAAGGCATCGATAGCCTTTTTGCGGGTTGGCATAACCAATGAAGATACATGGTTGCGATAGCGGAGAGAGTTTGTTTTTGGCGTAAGGCTTCAGCCAAGGATAGCAAAGACAGCCATAAACTTTGAGATGATCGTAGGAGGGTGGTTGTCCGTAAAGTAATTCGTGAGGGGATTTGTTTTGAGTGTTGGATGAGGGTAGCCGGTTTATTAAGTAGGCAGCAGTCAGAATTGTATCCACCCATAAGTATTGAGGTACGTGAGCCTGAATGAGAAGAGCTCGAGTGGTCTCTGTGAGATGGCGGTGCTTTCGTTCGGCGACGCCGTTTTGAGGCGGGGAATAGGGACAAGTAAACTGGTGGACGATACCGAGATGTTTGGGGATAGTTTTAAAATTATTTCTGGTAAACTCGCCTCCGCCGTCCGTGCGAAGGATGCGGATGTGAGTCTTAAATTGGCATTGAATAAAACGATGAAATTCAATAAAACTATTTAGAGCATCAGACTTGCGGACCAGTGGGTAAATCCAAACATATTTAGAAAAGTCATCTATGAATGAAATATAATAGCGAAAACCTTTATTAGATGCTACGGAAAACGGACCCCATATATCAGAATGAATAAGATGAAAAATTTCTTTACTAACAGTATTCGAGCTAGGAAAAGGAAGACGATGGCATTTTTCCATGCTACAGACATTACACATGGACCTAGTAGAAGAATTGCAGATTGTCTTGTGCTGTAGAGCTAGACCGGAGATGGTTTGAGCGGATGGGTGACCGAGTCTTTGGTACCAGAGATCCGGGATCGCTTGGATGGACAGAAGCGCGAGCTTGGACGGATGTGTCGATTTCGATGAGGCCGAGTGCAACGGGTATAGCCCGTTAATACACGGACCCTTGAGAAGAGGGCGGAGGGTCCTCTGATCCTTAATTTCATAGCCATTTGGAGAGAAAGTGATAAGGCAATTGTTATCTGTTGTAAGCTGATGAACCGAAAGCAAATTGAAAGAAAGGTTTGGAACTAAATGAAGGTTTGATAGCATTAGCGTACCTTGAGGCGTAGGGAGGATACCTCTACCTGTGTTATGGATCGGAATTTGTTGTCCGTTTCCAAGAGTTACCTGATTGGTACCGGTATATGCTTGTGATGTTTGGAATTGATTTGGGTCGGCGGTGAGGTGTGAGGAGGCACCGCTATCAATAAACCATTATGTTGATGAGGGTTGATTCGACGAGCTGAATAGAGCCGCAGTGGGTGGTTCGGTGTTGTATTGCTCATCGTGGCGATGCCAGCACTTGACCGCAGAGTGACCGTATTTCCCACAAATTTGACAGGTTACAGGATTTCTTGGTGTGGGATTTCGGCGATTGTTATTGAAGTTATTTTGCGGCGGGCGATTTGAAGGTGTGTTACGACCGCGATTGTTGTTGTAGCGACTTCGTCCGATGCCTCGAGAGGCCGTGAGGGCCATAGAGTTGGTGGAGGATTGAAGAGATTGAAGCTCCCTTGATGTTTCATGCGCAAGATTCAATTCCTCGCTGCAAAGAAGGGTGTATAGATCATCCAGGCTTAAGGGTTGTAAATTTGTGCGAATCGCTGTTTTGAAAGCTTGGTAGGTGTTGGGAAGGCCGTCGAGAGTGTAATGAATTATATCTTTGGCATTGAGTGGGGCACCGGCTGCGGCGAGAGAATCGACCTTGGATTTGATGTCTAGTAAATATTGAGTCATATTTTTGTCTTTCATGGACAAATAATGAAGTTCATGCCGGAGTTGAGCAATTCTTGACCGGGTGCTTGATTGGAGTCGCCAATCAAGCGTAGCTCAAATGTCGGAGCAATGCTCAACAGAGAGGACGTAAGGGAGTATAGTGGATGAAATGACCGAGTAGAGAGACGCCGCAAGGTTCTGATCCACATGAAGCCATTCTGCATATTGTGTGTTTGGAACCATCTGACCGGTGACGTCGGCAATAATCTTGGACGGAGGAGGAGAAGATCCGTCCAAGAATCCTTCGTAGGAATTTGCTCTGAAGAGTTTTATTACCTGAGTCCTCCAAACTAGAAAGTTATCCATGGATAGAGGTTGAGTAATCACATTCTTGATAGTGGTCATCAAGAATTTGAGGGTGGCAGGAACGGTGTGAATTTGGGGTGTCGGCTGTGATGTTGTGGATGGGGAGGCGTCGGATGTCTGGGAGGAGGGTGGGGACGCCATGATTGGAGCAGGAGCTGCTCGGTTGATGACAAGAAAAAAAAAAGGAAACAGGGAAGGCAAAGAAAGAACCAGAAAGAAGAGATTAACTTGTCTCTGATACCATGTTGAATAAGGAGAACAAACACAGCCAGAGATAGAAAGGAATAAAAGTTATTTTCATTTCATAGTTTTCTCTCTAATACAAATACATATTTATAGACTAAGTACAGAGATACATCAAGGTAACTAAGTGCAGAGATATACATCAAGGTAACGGTAAATCAAGAAGCCGTTTTGATGACGTGGCAAGAAGCTGATCTTTTGCCGTTCAGGTATATACAACAATAATTAATAGTTCATTTTTGTTAATGGATGATTTGATATGATAATTTAGATTTTGTTTGGGACAACTTTTTTAATTTGCTGTTTTCTAAAACAACTTTTTAGTATGATTTTTTTTTTTTTTTTTAATTTTGTATTAAAAAGTTACTTTAAAAAACAGTAAGAAATCTGTCCCAAACAATACCTTAGTTGCATGCACAAATATAGTATGAGGTAAGGTGTTGCTTGGTGGTGTTTTTTTTGTACTTAATTATTGGAATATATATATATATATGTTTAAAATTTTATTGTATGATTTTATGATCAAATGGACATCACTAATGGAATACTTTATATTCTATATGGGAAGGTGTTGTTTTATTTTGTGCATGTTAGTAGCCCAATTTCATGTAGCCGACCCCACGTAGTGGGATAAAGGCTTGATGTTGTTGTAGTAGCCCAATTTCAATATAGTTGGATTAATTAATGTCAAAATGTGCAGATACTTGCAAGTCAGACCATACCCACTAATCGAGAGATTATTCTGTGCGGACACCAGATTGGACTAATCGTTCGATTTTGTCTCTATGAACAGTAAAAGCGCAACAAGAACAATAAAAGCGTAGTTCGCTGCGCTTTTACTGTTCACAGAGATAAACCGGACGGTTCTCCCTAACCGGTGTCCGCATAGAATAATTCATCCCCACACTTATGAAGGGTTGAAGCAATTTTTAGCATGGTACAGGAGTTAAGGAGTGAGATTAGGACAAAGGATAATTTAACTAAGGTTGAAACATAAATTAGATGCCATAACTAATATTCCATGTAGTTTTGTACAAAGGAAGATGCAGGAATATGGAGAGCGAGTCAGTGCCTGCGATTGGCCTTGTCATTCACTTAGATGAGGTTGGCAATGGGCTACAAAAGTAGCAGGAGATGGAGACTTCATTTGGGACTATTTTTATATTGCTTCTTAAAATAGAATTTTAGTACAAAAATTAAATTTTTTTACTAAAATTCTGTTTTAAAAAACAATAAAAAAAAGTCATCCCAAAAGAAACCATGGTAGGAGATGCCAGTGGAGTTGGTGTTCATATGGGCTAATTCCTTGCCATTATATCTATATAACAGGAGGCCGAGATCTAGAAGCCACTCCATTGTTTTCAATTTTACCATATAGAACAAGAGGTTGAAAAGGCAGGGAGAGTTTAAAAGAAGAAATTATTTAAAATAGTAAGTATTGGACCGGTGATTTCATAGATATAATAAAGAAGAGGCTAAAAATAAGAAGTATTTGAATTGAGATTTCATAGACATACTCGAAAAGAGGCATAACTCCATGAATCCCAAGTATCATTGACCACCAGCTTGATCAAGAGCAATTGTCTTCCTTCAAATCTTATATGTCATAACTAAACAACTCCAAGGAGGAGATATAATTGGGCAATAGATGCCTACCATGGTTCTAACAATTGAATACTGCCACTATATGATTAGATAGTGATGTGAGAATTTTTCCAAAAATTTAAAAATATGGTTCTGATATTTGAATAATCTCTATAATTGTTGTGGGCTGGAATATTCACGGCGGTAAAGTGAGTAAACTTTTTGTTATAGAGATACACGGATATTCAACACACAAACAGAGAGAGAAGTAAAACACTCGTTTTTTTATGTGGAAAGCCTGAAGAGGGAAAAATCACGGGACCTCGTCCAAGTGAAAAAATTCTACTAAATTTGAGTGAATTACAAAGGTTGACCCGTCCCTTGACTTAGAGGCGGTCAAATTACAATAGTTTAGAGAGTTAGACAAAAGCATGGAAAAGGTTGGGCGGAAGTCCGATAGCGTATGGACAGAAGTTTAGCTGATGGGGAATGACCCAGCGAAGGTTGAGCGGACGACGCTCAGCATCCGGGTGGAAGTCCGATGATGGTCCGACAATGATTGGGCTGAAGTCCGATGAAGGTCGGCGTCCGAGTGAAAGTTCTTCTGCAATCAGCGGTCTGGCGATGATCCAACGATGGTAGGGCTGAAGTTTGGCAGTGGTGCTGGAGCTCTTGAAGCCTCAGAGCTCTCTCCAATCTCTTGTCAAAGGTCTCCTTCATGTAAAAAGTGGTGGTATATATATTTTTAGATTTTCATGAATGACACACCATGTAAATATAAAGAAGATTCGGGGCAGGTTTGAAGTGCTCCATCGGATGGGCAGTATTGATTCCCTTGATTATAGAGAGTTTTTCAACTATTTAAGTGCCTTAACGATGTCATAATTCAATAATCTTGGGCTCGTTGGGTTTGTCTCCCCAAGCCGCTCGATTTGACAATAACCATGCCATATTTGGATATCATTTTGTCATCCAAATAATGCTTTGAACCTTTCAAATGTGGTTCGGGCCCCCGATTTGGACTCATTTGGGCTCAAGTTGGACCGATTTTGGTATTGTTATGTTCGTCCCTTTGAGACGTTCAGTTTGACTATAAGTTTGATGAAATTGGAATTCAAATGATCCCGAATTTAATTTTGAAAGTTTCCAACTTGAATACACCTTAAGATTCGTGCATGATCAAGACGATTTTTTGTAACATATCAGTAATAACTTTAATTTATAATTTTGCAGCATATTAATTAATTTCTTTTCTTGCAAGATAAATTGGTAAATCTAACACTACATAAAGACCTATGTATCTGATATAGTTATGATGGATGAATTATTTGATCAATATTATTGATGAATAATCTCTACCTTACATTGACTAAGAAAAATGGCTATTTCATGTAGCTTGATGTAATGATGTGACACTCATATATGCAATTGGAGTTGAGTTCTTGTAGTGAGGAGTTGATGCAAAACTCACATGCTTTTAATGAAATAAAATACAAATTATTGGATTATATGTAAGATCTCACTTCTTACGATATCCATGATACTCTATGATTGTAACCCTTCTTGTACTTTTGTAGCAAACCATGTGGAAAATGATAACTACGTTATACAATTAATTAAGTTGTTTCAGGCAAGGTTTTAACAATCAGACCGGACAATGAACCGGAAGAAAGAGAGGTTCACGGTCGACCGGTCGAACCGGGGTCGAACTGGATGACGTAATAAATAATAATATTATTATAAAAAATTAATAAAATTACAAAATAATGAAGTATAATAATCATATTATTTCAAATGAATTCACATAAATTTTATAATATATATAATGAAAAATTTATATAAAAAAAATAAATAGAAAAAATTTGAATTTTATGAACTAAGAAAATAAATATTATAAACTAAAAAAATTAATATTATTCATATTATATACAAAACTATACAAAGCATAAAATTATGAAACTAAAGATGGGTCATTGCTTTGTATGGTTTAGTCCCACATTGTTTGGAAAGCTTTGCTTTTGCATACTTTATGAGACTTTCAGGAGTCATGGTTATTCCATTTATTTGACAAGTGACAAACTTTGCTCCTCCAAATCTCCTCAGATCTGGAATATGAGGTTCATATATCTACAGTAAACTAATCCATATACAATTTTATAAGAAAATTTAAGTAATTTAAATATTTATTGTATATAGAGTCTAATGAATGCTTTAAATTTTATTTTCACGATAATTGTGAAGAGTATGCAATCTAATGCATCATATACTTGATTTAAAAAGAAACTTAAAGTTACACATGATTGTATATAGTTCTTTAGGAATCATTTATGTATAAATTTATTTCACATTAATTTTACCATTTTAATGTAAACATTAGTTTTTGTGTATATTAATTATTTTATTACCATTTTTAAATTACTTTTAAATTTACATTGGTTGTCTAATAAACGTTGAGTTGTAGCTCTTGAATTGCACAATTAAATTGCACTCTATGTTATTATGATTTGCTATATATATTGGATAAATTAAATAAATCAATTAATTCATTATTTTTCAGTTTCCTTTCTTTTAGTATATATTTATTAAATTAATATTCATTGCAGATTTTAATTCACTTTCCTTTTTTTCTTCATTTTTTTATCTATAAATATTGTAAAAACTTATAATACAAAATTAAAGAAAATATATGTTGTAGAATTTGATATTGTGATTGCAAGCCACTCTATAATATTAATCTTGTAGTTTGCTTCATTATAATTCATGTTCGAATTATGTTTAAATTATGATCGAATAATTTTTGAACAAGAATTGCATAGTTCTTAGCTAAAATCAAGTAGTCATTAGATTATAATGGAACAATTTTGGAATCATATTCGAAAATTTTTGAGCAACGATCGAACAATCTTCAAATCATATTCACATTGGTAGAATATATGTTTGAAATTTTTTTGAACGAGCGTCAAATATAGGCCTAAACTTAGTTATAAAGTGGTTGGAATCATGTTCGAACTAATATTAGCCATAACTAATATTAACCATGATATATTTTATTTAAGGTTTCGTTTCAGATAGTTTTTGACCATTACTTCTGTTTTCAATAAATTTTTATGCTAAAAAATTGATGAAAAAAAAAGTAAGAAAACTATCATAATCCGTCAATAATTAAAAATGATAATATTTTGATTACGGAAATATTTCCCAAATTTCAGCTATTATGAGCGTCTAAAGCCACATTTCAAATACTGTTATTAAATATGGTCAAATTCTATAAGAAAAAAATAATAATTTCAGAACTGAACAGAAGGTAGAGCATACGCCACGCAATAACTCCCTCAAACCGGCGGCTTTCATTACCGGTCCGATTCAACCGGTCACACGAGAAGCGGTTCAGCACTTCCGTATCGTACAAAAGGCGTGCTTGGGGAATATGGCTTCTTCTTGCCTCCCCCTACCTCCTAACTTCTCCCTCGCTTTTGGATTCATTCGATGGGCAAAACTCCGCCGCCTTCTCCACGAAATCCCGATTGCCGCTACCGCCGTCGCAGCCGCCAGATCGCTATTTAAGGGTTAGAGTAATTACGCCAGTTCTGCCGTCTCCGGCGTGAAGGACGGCGGCGGCATCTACTACCGCGGAAGAGATGTTTCGGTGGGATTTTGCTGAGTCGATTTTCTCGAAGTGGGCGATCAAGCGAGTTTGCAAGTTTCTTTTGAAGAAGAAGTTGGGGGATTTCATTCTTGGCGATATTGATCTTGATCAGCTCGAGGTGCAGTTTACTCGCGGAACTATACAGCTCTCCGACCTCGCCGTCAATGTCGATTACATCAACCAGAAGGTATTTTACCTCTCTTGTTGTTATATTATTTTTCTTTGATGTATTGTTTTATATATTTTTTCGTTTTCTTCTATGGTTGCCGTTTTGGCGAGGCATGGAGGTTTCTTTCAAGAAAATCAAGTTTAGGTGTGAGAAGGGAGTTTCTTTTATCCTTGATTTTGTGTTGGAATTGCTTAGTTGCGCGAGATTTAGTTGAATTGGATGACTTAAAAAAGGGTTTCAAATCATTTGGCAAAATTGTTGATTGGTCCTTTTTTAGTTGCTTTAATTGGAAATCATTGTTTGGAAATGGAGAAATTTGCTAAATTCTGTCATTTGGATGGATGTAGTTACAAATCAATATCATTTTTAAACTCCGGACACTAGCTACATCCCCCCTCAAGTGTAACGATTTCAATTTCTGCGTGAAAATTAAAACATCTCATTCTAAAACATGCTTCTTTATCTGCAAGCAGCCAATAAGCTGTTAGGAACATATAATATAGGGTTTATGATTGCAGTTTTGGTAGTGCCATTAGAGATTTTCATGATTCTTTTGATTCCTATTGAGTTGCTTTGGATGTGGCAAATCAGGAAAGAACTGTTGTAAAATGAAGTTTTTATTTTTTCACTAGACTGGGATGGATATACAGTATATTTGGGAACATTTTTAGATTGGGAGAAGATGATTGAATATCATTTTCCAGATGCTCTTCTAATGCAGACCTAACTGAGAGACCATTTAGTTGTCAATCAATTTGTTCTAGAGTTTTTGTATATAAGGGCTTGTTAAATAGCTGCTCTAATCCAAGTAAAAATAAAATAAGACTAGTATAACAATGAAAGTCTGATTGGATTAAGGAAAAAAATAGCATGTAATAACTTGTAGGGATGCAATAGCTAAAATTGTGGTGGAAATTTGATATCTTGGTTGATGCTAAGGAAGAAAACCTGTTTAGAGAAAGAAACATGAAGATAAAAAGATGGAAGATATTAAAAGAAGAGATGGTTGGCTTAATGTGGAGGGTAAAGATAGACAAATCTAGCCTTATGCTTGGCAGAAGAGGAAAGGATTGATCCTTAAGAAGAATGCCCATAGGATGGCCATATCTTTTTTTGATTATAAACTAACTTCAATTATAACTTAAGTCCTACTATTTATAATATTAGCCCTAATTATTTTTTATAATTTAACCCTTATAGCCATGTCTATGCATGTTCTATGCATGTTCTGGCCAATGATCATTTTTCTCCAAATAAATGACAAAAATGACAGCTATGGACCACGATATATATCAGACACATTATATGATTTTGAATAAACTAACATGAACAAATGCTTAAGTTCTAGGGTTGAAGTAGGCGTCTCTAACACTCCAATTCTTTTTTGATGTGGAGAATTTTATTCTGAAGAGTTGAATGTTCTTGGTGAAAGAATTGAAGATTATTGACTATTCTGTTAAACTAACGAAATTCATCCCAAAAAAAAGATGAATACAAAATCCATTGTAAAGAAGGGGTGATGGATGAGAATTCATTGTAAGGAAAATTAGATGAAAGGAGAAACGTGATGATTATTAACAAATATCTTTAGAAGGATATTGTTATAAATCCTCAAGAACACTATTGTCATCTCTTAAAAGATATCTATTTAAGTCTGGAGGTTGTTATTGATGGCGATGGAGTGATTTGAATTGATTTTTTTATTTTGCAAAACAAGAAAAAAAAAACTATTTTCCTTTTATTTGGGCTCATAGATAGGCTAGGTTAGCCAATCAGGTTGGTTTAGTTAGTTTTGCTATAGTTAATCAAGTTGGAATTAACCCTATTAAGCTGGTTGAGTTGAGTTTAGTTTTGGAAAATAGGTGCAAGGGTAGGTTTAGAAAAACTAACTAGGTTTAATTGGGCTAAAGTGATTTATAAAAATTATTGTGGAAAAAAGGATAGTTTAATGAAAAATTGAATTTAAACTTTGAATTAGAGTTATTGAAGTTCAAAACTAAATGTAATTTTCGATTTGAAATTCAAATTGAACATGCTACTGCAACTTATGAACCATAATTCAATATTAGAGTGGGCCATGATCTAATTTGATCATTTTAGGCTTTAGCTTGCAGTTCCGAGAGGGGGTCTACGTTGACTCTCTCAAGAGTGACCATATGTCAATATGCCATTGTATGTTTTGCAGCTCTCTTGTGTTGATCAAAATCACAATTTAGAAGAACATTAAAAAAGATGTGGGGTGTATCTCCCTCTACAAATTTCATGTTGATCAATTTGGTTGAATTTGATCATACTAAGTGCGGATCTCTCGCAGTCGCAAACCAAAAACTTGCAAAATAATTTATACGGCAGTTTAGGAATATAACCCCTATCTATTATCATAATCACACGATTTTTGAATGAAAATTCCCCCTTGATAACTTGTCAAATCCATGAGCTTCAATCACGATACCAGTTAAAGTTGTTGTGGACTTTTGATACCTTGATTACTAAAACGGAAGAACGCGGTGTAGTGCAAAAATTATGAAGGTAAAGAGATAGATGATATTGTGAAGAAGATGTGTAGATGACTCAAGGGTAGGAGAAGATATGAATGAATGCTCAATGTGGAGAAAGAATGATGATTTGATACCTAGAAAGGCTTTTATTGAAAGTTCATATATTTATTCTATTCATCAACTATCTATAATTATAAGCTAAGACCTACTATTTATGATAGTAATCATGATTTTTTTGGACAATCTAACCTTTAAAATAATGAAAAAAATGGACAAATATATACATTACATCACGTGATCATTATACACCTAAAAAACAGCAAAATGACAAATATGGGGAATAACATAAAATTGTTACATCAAATAATACTGACTAAACTGAAATGGAAAGTCTTAATTGTAAGGACTGAAGTAGATGTCTCATATTACAAGAGCTTTAACTTGATTCGGTTGCAAACTGCCTTGGCTTGCAAGCGTTGTTGCCTTAGTACCCCAATACTGTACTATATATTTCTTTAAGCATTATTTTTTAAAAAAATTATTGTTAAATCTTTTTTTTTTTCAAATATAAATCCACTGAAATTTCTTCCTCATTTTTTTTGTTGTCTTGTGTTTTTCTCTTATATATTTGAGTGGATTTATCATTTAGCTGGAGGCTTGACGGGGAAGATTTAAAATCATATTGAAGCTTTAGAATTTGTTGCTCAAGTTACTATGAATTATTTCCAACTCAAGGATTTGGATGTCCTGTTAGATGTTTTAATATTTTCTAATACTTATGTTAGCCATTTTTATACTACAAGAAGTTTCTTCGAATAGCAAATGTTGCAAGCACATACTTGCCGCTACCTTTTTGCTTTGTTTGGTGCTGTATCTGTTTTGAGATGCAGCCCTTTTACTTACATTCATACTACAAGAAATATATCTGGTCCTGAATTATTTATGGACAATCAATATTGTTGTGATCAACAATGATGTTACAGTGATTCATCCATCTATAGATTAATCCATCTATAGATTAGTTGCACATGTTTTTGCTGAGAACATCCACTACCATTAGATACTGCAATCCCGGATATTCATATTATAAACTTGGAGATTTGCAAATATACCACTGGATTCTTATATATTTATATATCTAATATAAAAAATTTAATATTACTTAGATAATACCCTCCTTCTAAATGACATCAAAATATATGCTTGAAATGATATATTTCACTTTAGATAAGTAAATATTTGTGTTATTTTAATATCAGTTAAAGATTAAGATATTATATAAAAAAGGTAATATATATATATATATATATATACACACAGGCACACAGACACGGACACGCATACTTTTAAGAATTCAATGACATGTATGTGAATCCCCCTTATAAATATTGTTTCTTTTCTTTCCTACTTCTCATGGTTTTTGCCATATGCTTCAGTTTGCTGGGGCTGCAGTGGTATTGAAAGAAGGATCAATTGCTTCCCTATCAATTAAAATACCATGGAAGCTGCAGAACTGTCAGATAGAACTTGAAGAACTTGAACTTGTGTTTGCTCCATTCACGGGAAGCAAGATTCAGGTGTCTAGCAGCTGTTTGGAGTCAAGTAGCGGTCATAAACAACAGATGAGCCTTGGCCCAGATGAAAATGGACCGAAGATCAGCCGAGAGAGCTATGGATCAGTTTCTCTAGATATTCATGAAGGAGTTAAGACAATCGCTAAAATTGTGAAATGGCTTCTTACTAGCTTTCATGTAAGGTTAAAAAATCTTATAGTTGCATTTGATCCTTGCTTAGAGATGAATGAAAATAGATTGCCAGTAGACAAATCATTGGTTCTTCGAATTGCGGAAACAGAATTTGGAACCTGCCTTTCTGAAGATGTTGTGCAAACTCAAATTCCTATGGCTGATTGCCTTCTTGGAATGGCGAAGCTGACAAATTTTGTGAAATTTGAAGGTGCTGTGATTGAGGTCCTTAAGATGCCCGACATTGATAAGAGTCCTTGTCCTCAGGATAGTCTAGAAACTATATGTAATGATTACAGTTCAAGTGGCTTACCATTAAGCAGTACCACGGCAATTTTGACTGGTAAAAGTGGGGGGATCTCAGGAAGAATGAACATATGCATTCCCTGGAAAAATGGATCTCTTGATTTTCATAAAGTTGACGCTGCTGTCTGTTTTGATCCTTTTGAATTAAGGCTGCAACCCAGCACCATCGAGTGGATTATTATCATATGGGAATCCCTCAAATATGCTAGCACAGCTGCAAGGAGCTGTGTTCAGTTTAACACGATTGATTCTTCTTGCTCAAAATCTGGATTGCATAGCTACTCGTCTTTGAGAAGTTCTACTATTTTGGGGGCTGATATTACAAAACCAAGCATCAGGAAATTTTCAGAGGAATTGCATTCTGATATCAATAGAGAGACAATTCCTGAGGATCTACTTCCTCAAACACATGTTATTCAGAACTGGGTGCCATTTTCATTCAAAGAAGACCAAGCAGAATTGGAGCAAGATTATGGAGCAAGGTTTTTATTATTTAACAACAATGATTTCCTTTTTTTTAAGCTAGAATTATTCTTTCCGATCAGCATCTGTTTATTCATCTTTCAGTTGGAGAATCTGTTAGTTCATAATGTTAAAATGTTCATCCTGAATGCTCTGTTTTGGTTCTGCAAGTTGCACGCTTCTAGAAGAATTCTTTTTTTTTTTTATATATGTTATGATTTTGTACTTAACATATCTTGTTTTTTTTCATCTAATTACAAGGCTATTGATAAGTGCACTGTAAGAATGTGCAAGCACCCAACATTGTTCCAACTAAGATAGTAGCGAGTTTGCTTACATCACAAAAAGCACCTTTATTATTTTCATTTGAATTTTTGATAACTTTCTTAATTTGAGATGATTTTTTCATTTGCTGAACTTGAGAGCAGTTCATATCATAACAGGGATGATATGTGCAAGGTGAGAATGTGTAAGCACAACACTACTCCAACTTTGTGTTAGTGTATATCCTTTTCTTCCATCACAAAAGTACCTTGTTTATACTCTTTAAAGTTCTTGATAATTTTCTTAGCTTGAAATGTTTTTTTCTATTATTAAGCCTATGAATATACGTGTCTCTAGTCATCTTATTTTATAGCAAGTCTATGTTTAACAAAACCAAGCTTGATGTATGTCACAGAAGAAAATTCTTTGTACATAAATTGGAGTGGTCCATGCATACAATTTAGACCTTAAGAGCACTTAATTGGTCATATATAAATTCATTTATTCAATCATTAATCATTATGCTGACCCCACGTGGTGAGACAAAGGCTTGATATTGTTGTTGTTGTAATCATTAATCATTATCATGGAAAAAAAAGGAAAAAAAGAGACCTTGTGACAATCCTCCTTTAAATTCTTATGATAACTTGAAACTAAACTCCAAAAACCCTCCAAATATAAAGGAAGGGATATTATAGGATAAGCACTCATATCAAAGCTTGGGCACCCGTAATTACTAAATTACCCATATAAAAATGTTGAGTAAAATTTTATTTACAAAAGGCCCTCTTTCCTATAAAACTATGTCATGCTTTTGGGTAGGGGGAGGCTCATCCTCGATGTCTTATTCACCTTCTTGTTCATAATATTTTGAAAGGTTAACTACATTAAAGATGGTTAAAATACTTTTATCCCTTGATAAATCAAACACGAAGGGGTATTATAAGATACACACTTATAGCGAAACTTGGGCACCCATGATTACAAAATTAGCCCTATGAAAACTGTTGAGTAAAATTTTATTTACAAAAAGACCCCCTCTCCTTATGAACCCATGTCATGTTCTTTTTTTTTCTTTAAAAAAGTTTCTTTTTTGTTTTTTTTAACCTATGTCATGCTCTTGGGTAGGGGTGACACACCCTCGATGTCTTATTCACCTAGTTATTCATAATATGGTGATAGGTCAACTACTTTAAAGATGGTCAAAATACTTGTATATCTTGATAAATTAAATACAAAGGAAGGGATATTATAGGATAAGCACTCATATCAAAACTTGGGCAACTGTAATTACTAAACTACCCCTATAAAAATTAATTGTAATTTCTTTGCCAACTCAATTTTAATTTCTCACGCAGCTCCTTGCATTTAGTTTCACATCAGTTATCTATTGTTATACTAGTTTTGGTATTAAACTCAGAAGCAACAATTATAAGGGTTAGATCTAAAGGTGTGCGGGGATTCTGTCTATAAATTATTCCAAAGTGACTTCGACCTTTGGTTTGATTTACAGGTCAATTATAAGTAAATTCAACTTTGGCTAAAATGAGATCTCATTATTTTATATTTTTCCTAACAAAGCATAGTTTAAATTTCTCAAACTTAGATCGATAGCTTATGCCTAGCCATCAGTTTGAGAATGAACCATTGAACTAAATTGAAGTTTAAAGCCTAATTTTCTCCATTAAGTTTTCCATAAATGACTAAGGAATCTCACATCACAATTATATGTAATAGTTATTCAGGATTCCATGTAAACAAACAATTGCACAGAAATAAATATTAGTAATATAAGAAGCGTTATATGTTTTATGAAATGGAATAAAATGCGTCATCTTATTGAATCATTCTTCAATAACTATAGCCGAATCTTTGTGCCTTTGGGTATTTGGGAGACCTCAACATCCATACTCGCATCTACCAAGGTAATTTGGGCACAACAAAGGAGTATGTATCTCTATTTTTTGATTCCTTGTTTTAACTGTATAACAAACTTGACATCTTCTAAGGAACCAGTCAACCTTTTGCTGAATAAAAGGCAAAAATGTTTTCTTGAATTAAAGTGTTAGCTTTACTTGTAAAATTCTTTTGCCATCCCTCCTTGAAACTTAGATAAAATAGCCTCTCGTAGAGAACAATGAGGAATACATACACAATTATGTAAAAAAAAGTACCCATCTCATATCAAAAAAAATGATAGCTTCCCTCTTGACATGATTGCCATTTCTCCTCAAAGTTTGTGTCCCTGGGATAACAGTTTTTTATAGTCTTGAAACCAATAGCCTTGGACTAGAGGGTACAATAACCTCTTACTTAAGTATGCACCCGTTTAAGTACGCTTCCCGGTTAAGCACGCAAAATTTTAACGAAAACTTAGGGTTCAAGATTTATAACTTGAACATGTCATGAATGGTCATTTGATGTAAGTTCTTCGACATTTCTAAAAGATAGGCGAGAGCTCGTACCTGAATGTGCTCTGAATAGACTGCAGGGTGTGCGGATGATAAGCTAAATCCTTCCACAGGAGCTGGACGTGCTGGCAGTAGCTTGGCGTGTGGATGGTATGTCACGATGTTCATTGGATACTCAAATTAACGAAGTGAGAATGAACAGTCAGGCGGTTATAATATTACTTTTAAATTCAAACACAACTTATCATATACATTCTAAATAAAACTGAAGAGCCACTAATATCTATTTTCATCAAATTACTTATAAAATTTTCGTAATTTAATATTTTTCATAAATAAAAAATTTACCTGCTTTTATTTGAGTGTCGTCTTCTTTAGGCATACTCCTCTCTTTTAGCCATTTTCACTTATGAGGAGATGTACCTAAAAAAATGTTAATTTAATAGAGTTAGTTTACTAAGTAAATTCAGTGGGTAATCACTATGTCATTTACAACAGTTAGACATATAAAATAAATTATATATGTTTCTTTGTTTTTCTTACACAGTTAACATATGCATTTTCTTTCATATGCTATAGATTATATAATTCATCTTTCACATAAATTACTACTTATGCTATTTTATTTGTCCATTTTCTATTAGGATAAATTATAAAAAGGAGCTTGTTTAATACATAAATACACAGATGAATCGCATTTAAAAAAAATTAAAAAGGAGCGAAACCGGATAACAAAATTTTGGTTTCAAAAAAAAAATCCAAAGAAACGGGATATATATATTTACCGGTTTCTTAATAATAAATAAATAAATAGAAATTTTAATAACTTTTTAATAAATATATAATAAGAAACTGGAGGTCCGAAACTTGTCTTAATGATGTCAGAATTTGACGATCTTGGGCTCGTTGGATTTGTCTCGACAAGCCGCTCGATTCGATTACAAGCACGTTATGTTTGGAAGGCATTCATACCTCCTCATGTAATTTTTTACCAACATAAAATTATATTGAACCTCAATCATAGTCGTTGGTCAAGCCCTACTTAAATCCACTATCCTACACGACCTAAATTCCTAGTAGCTGGAAATGGCCATTCCTTAATTCCAACAACTTTCAAAATAGCAAACTAGGCTAATCTTGACTGCAAGAGAAGGATCTAGGGTTGGGTGATCGATTGTGGTGGAGTCCGGAACTACACTATGAACTTTTATCTACTCTCCTCTCCAAGAGTAGGGAATCCATCCTTAATTTCTCAGGGTAACCTGATACTAAGCTTAAGAAGACTGCCTCCAAACACAATGGAATGGGTATTTGTAGGCTAACCACTCATATCAATATCATGCCTCTTAATTACTAAATTACTCCAATAAAGTAAAAAATGGAAAATAAGCCACAAGTAAAGTTTTTATTTATGAAAGCTGCCCCCCAACCAATTTTGTTAAGGAAGCTTCCCATCATTTGCTTCAAGATCGCAATATTAGTCTCCAACTTATTGGTTCTGCACCCAAGTCCAACTTCTAAAGGTTTAATTTTCTAATAATTACCGATCAAGCTATTTGCAATATGCTCTTTAAATTTATATTTTTGGATGACTAGGATGCTTATCAAAATTATGTTGGGCTTGCTCTAGAGTGAATGGATACTTGCAAATAATAATTATGTAAAATGTAAGTGTAATCTAGCAAAATATCTAAATGATATGTAAACAAATTTTCTGGAAATGCTTATTAGCAACTATTGGTGCAAAGTAATCATTTTTCTCTCCTATAAAAAAAATCTAATTTAGTTCTTTTATATATATATTGAAAATAGGTCGGTTCAAAATCATATAGTTTTAAGTAGGATATTATCTGTGGAGCTCTCAATTTGCTCACTTGTAATTCTCACTAGTTATGCTAAGTTGGAGGTGGTGCTTAGGCAAATTTTTTAAGTTTAGAAAAGCTAGTAAGTTATTCATTCCAAGGTATAAAATTTACTAGAAATATATTATTTATCATAACATCAACATATATTATACTTTATCGTAGCAGGTTGAATGTTAGAAATTTTTTCTCTCCTTATATGTAGAAGATCTTTTAAGTTGTTGGTGATTGCAATGGTCCAAGGTGAGTGGTTATTGATAGAAATGAGTGATGTCATAGAAAAATCAATGATGTGAGGGGACCTATAGCTGTTATGCAAAAATCAATGGAGATTCTGAGTGGCTTATGAAGGATGGAAACAATATGAAATCATTAAGACAATGTAGCCTAGTGGGACTATGTTAGTCATCGACTACCTTGAGAAGAAAAATATATCTATGCAAACCAATGACATTTTTAGCTTGGAAACTAGAAGCGGTGTTGGGAACAATAGAGGTGACATAGCCCTTAAAGTTAGGGGTGCCATAATGGAGGTCAGTGTCATCATAAAGAAGATGGATTTTTGAGACGAAGCAAATAAAAGTGTGAAGGACCCGCAATGCGTGTTACATGAGCTATATTGGTAGAATAACATATGGGCTAGGACGAAGAGCATGCAAGAAATGTGAGAAACAAATGCGGGGCATGGGGAGACCTAAGATATGCAATATGCAAGATGTGCATGGGAGTCCATGTGCAACTTCAAATGGTTTGCGTGTGTGGGCAAGTAAGGGGTAAGTTGCTAGTGAGAAGCGCAATCTGCAATGGGATGGACGAGCATGTGAGCCAGGAAATGCACGTGTGCGTTCAATTGCTAGATTTCAGTGATCGAACATGCATGGATTCTAGAAAGTAGGTTTGAGTGAATCACATGTTTATGGATTTGAAAGTTTAGGGCTTAATAAGTATTAGGCTCAGATAATGCAAAAAAGTATGTATGCAATTGCCTTTTAGGGTTGCATTGTTGCAATTACGAAGACGAACTCTGATACCAAAATTGGAGGGGGCAGACTGAAGAGGAAAGTCTCAACTTTAGTTGCATAACTTCAATTAATAGATAATTTCATTCATTTAATCATCAATCAATAATCAATATGTACATCATAGATCCCTATTTATAGTAGTTAATAACGTTAAGATTAAACTTCTGAATGTTAATGTGGTCCTATCCAAAATAACAAAATTGGAACCTGTTCTTATGATTCTTATTCTATAGAAGATACTATTGTAAAAAATAAAATAAAATAGAAAAATTATAAGAAATTTCATATTTATCTCTTTCTATCGAAAGCTCTCACCTATGACGACATACATTTTATCAGATATCTACAAGCAAGCATGGTTTTGGATTCATATCCTGAATTTTATTGTCTAGTGGGTATTGAGTTATCTTCCAACTCCTATAGTCTTAGTAAAATATGCAGCATTGTTCCCTAACACCATAGATTTCAGGGTGACAACTTCATGTTGGTACATTGGTTCACTTTTCTAGTATAGCCAGTTTTAATCTTTTGTCTTTGTTACAGAGGTATTATCCCTTTTTATTATTTTGTAATTTAACAGCATTCTGTTTCTCTACGAAGTTGCTACTGATTTTTTTTCCTTAAAAGAGCTGGAACTTCGGTTCTTTCTCCCATCTTGCCTCTGGTTGTTGTTATTTGACTATGTTCTTAGGACTAGTTTGATAGAGTCGATTAAATAACCTTTTGGGCTGTCGTATGTATCCTGCTTGATTTAGTACTCTTCATTGTTTCCATTTGATTGATTGAAGATATTTCAAATTGAGACAGTAGACCACTCTGCACGCCCTATGCCCCAAAACTAGCCTATTTCAGTGTACTGCAATTTTTTAATATAACGTGATGGGCTTTAAGTCAAACATTGGTGCATGGAATCAATTCAAGCTGTACTAATATCTATTAGATCATTTTAAGCAGTAAAAAACGATTCTTATTCCATAATCCAATGCGTGACTGAACATGTAGTTGGGAATTGCATGACTCCTCACATGGCCCAGAAATTTAATGCTCATTTAAAAAATTTTCAAGTTGTTATTTTTTAACATGTAACTAATAATCATTATGAAGGAAAATATTCTTTAATATTGGTTTCCATTCTGGTTCAAGATAGATACCGAAAACACTTGAGTTCCTCCAGTTCCCATCTTTACTGGAACAGCTGCTAAGTGATGTGGTATGCATTTACCTTCTCCTTCATAATGTACTCAAGGACGCACCCATAAATAGTTAACGTTTTCTTGTAGACCTTCTGCTCAAATGTTCTACTTTGCTGGTTTTTGTTTGGAAATAGGTTCACAACATTTTCTTATTTTGTTGTTCATCGCCCCTGCAATGATATTGTTCATGTTAATGCTAAGTCTTTTGTTACACACACACATATATCAATTTTTGTTCTTTCATTGATGATTGTAACCTACTCGGGTACTAATTGATGAATCTAACTTGCAGCATAGATCAATTTTTTGAATGCTTTGATGGGTTGCGGAGTTCTCAGGCAAATTCTGGAACTAGTGGGCTATGGAACTGGACTTATTCAGTTCTCAGCGCAATTAATGTTGCATCTAACCTGGCTTCTGGTTCTGGTCATATGCTTACAGGTATTTTGCCGAAGATGTCTTTTTGTGAGGCATATTTTCATCTGCAAGATATGAAATTTTCTGCAATCATGCATGATGTGTTATACTTAAGCACGACAATATGGATATATGCTGTGAGTGAATAATTGATGTATCTTTGTTATCTTATTCATGGTTCACATGCGCACACAGTAGTCATGTACTCAAATACTTTAATAAAAACTGTATGAATGCAGTGGGTGTCCCATATTTTATTTAAAAATTTCAATCTTTGAATTAGAAAAATGGCAGATGATGGGTTTTTGATGAGCCGTCCATGTATCTTGATATTGAATGGGTAGGGAATTTGTCCCTGAATGACTATGTGCTTATATTGAACTCTTTTAAAACATATGATACTGTATCTCAGCATGTTCTAGGTTTATCTGCCTTGATATGATTCTGGAATCTCAATGTTGATATGAGGACATAAAATTTAACTGCTAGCCAGTGTGCTATGATAAACCTGTCCTTGCGATAAAAAGTATCATTGTTGTATTATTGAGATTGATCCGGTAAATCACCGCTTTTCTCTTGTAGCTTGAACTAGTTGGAGAAAGAATTTAGTAGTGATAGCCATTTGAAATGAGAAATAGAAGGTGCATGTTTGTCTTCTGTGAATGTATTCCCGCCTTGCTGATGTCTAGGAGGGTTTGATTTCTACAACTTTAACCCTATGAAGTAGAGCTTTCAGATTGCAATGTGTGATCTCCAGTCACAAAGGGCACCCTAATTGTTCTACCAAGGCCTGCCTGCTAAATAATAAAATGAAATATTGAATAAATCAACTTTTGGACTTTGAAACTTTCTAATCAATCTACTATATTTCTAGATTGTCGAAAAGCAATCAGTTTAGTTACATTTTCTATGATGTGTAAGTCTGCCGGGCGTACTGAGCGCAAGGAGCAGGAGTGATTTTTGATATGGATGGTACTGGATTTTGGGGATCTCCATTGTCAGGTCATTGGGCTAAGAAATATGTTTTCTTGCATTCGCCAACCATATGGATCCATAAAAACTTTACAAATAGGATTCAGTTTTATTCTGTTCATAGTTTGGAAGGTTCTTTTCCTTTTTTGCTTTAGGTTCTTTAAATTGTGTGAACATCAGCTAGTACGTAAATGTGTTCTGGTTTTTGACTCTGAAAAGGCTGATAAAATTTTAGTCCTCTTGATAAGTTGCATATTAATGGGCATCGTTTCTTATGTCTTTGTCTTTATGTTTCTCTCTCTTCAATTTATGATTTTCTTGATAAGTATCCTATCACTTTTTCATTGCTAATTGTGCAGAGCAACATGTTGAGACCTGTTTAAGAGCAACTGTCACAGGGGTCTCTCTTTTCCTTTTTTTCCATGACAAGGAAGAAAATGTTTCTGATCAGTTACTGGGTGGTGACAGGGATGCCAACAAGTCATGCCGACTAGATTATTTAAGCTCTCCAACAAGTTGTACACAAACCTTTGACTCCTATGCGAGCTGTTTTTCATCTATGAATGTTGATCAGTCAACCATTGCTGAACCTAGTTTGACTGGATTTAAGATGCACCATCTTGAAGCAAAGTGTCAAGATGTAGTTATTAATTTTCAGGTTAACATTAACTCTGTTATAATAATTTTCCTACATGATATCTGCATTGTTGTTTAAATTTTGTCATTTACTTCGATTTATCATCACCAGTATCTTATTCCCAACTCATCATCATTATTTACCTCAACTAATTTCTTTTCTGTGAAAGCGAACAGATTGGCTCGCGAAAGAAAGATTGTCAAATATCAATCAAGCATGTCAAAATGGATGAGTACTATGATCATAAAAGTCATGTCAAGATGTTTGGCTTTTCTGATAACAGTGACTGTGGTGATCAGATGCTTAGAAATAAAACTATGAAGCAAAAAGTTCTAGATGCTCTCCCTCCCTTTCCTGCTTTTGTCCAAGAGTATGATTTAGAATCATCTGTTGAGCACAATTTTGAGAAAATAAATGAAAATTATTCATCTCAGGATCAGATGATTAAGGTTGGTCTCATGGAATCGTTTGGTGACTGCAGCTTCCAATGTGTTGTTAGTCTTTCAGATTTAGATGGAAGTTCAGTCGCTTCAATTACTTTTTCTTTGCATTTTCCACCGTGTTTTATGTGGCTCCACTTTCATTTAGTAGACTCGCTACTGAATCTCTTCAAAAAGGTTGAAACCTGTATTAAGAAACGTAGCGATAACAGAGATTTTGTTTTTTATGACTCATCTGGTGATAAAAAATTGGTCTCCCCTCATGATGTGAAAGGTTGCGATTCTTCCATGAAGACAATTTCTAATGTGCAAGGAAATATTGTCTTTGCTCATACAAGGATCATAATTTGTTTTCCTCTGCAAAGTATGGAAGACTTTGAGCATTTATACCTTATGGATAAGTTCATCATTCTTGAGCATTTCCCATTGCTTATTGCTGAAGAAGTTTTGCATGTTTATCCTTGTCCGTTAAAACAACTAATTGCACCAAATAGTAGTACTTGCTCCCCTACCTTTTCCTTGCATTTTGAGCTAGGGACCTTTGACATATACTTGACTAATTCTATAATCAAAGATGTTGCTGCTGATCAATCTATTCCATTAGAAGTGAAAGATGTCTCTGCTGTGAAAGTTCTTTCATTGACCAATAAAACAGGTGACAAACACTCTGGAATTAGTATAGTTTGGCAAAAAGGTCCTGTAACTGGTCCTTGGATGGCAAGTAGAGCTTGGAGCATGGCTTCTACACATGATCGAAGAAGTAGGAATAAAGTCACCGGAAAAGATTGTGAATTTTCTTCTGTGACAGCAGTAGAGGACTTTGAGATGAATAGTTCTGATATTCATCAGGAGTTGATTCTTAGCTCTGGGCTTCTCCTTTATTTAAGTTTTTCTATCATTAGGCTCAATCTCCACAGTCATAATTATGAAAGATTGAATTACCTTTTAGATATTGCCAGTAACGGCTTATCTAATGGAGGTTCTTCTAAATTGAGTGTCTCTGAGGAGGAGCGGACTCTGTGTAAAGAAAATGCATCTCAAAAAGCTATTATTATGGATTGTGATGTCTTGGATTTATGCATTGTGTTCGATGAGGTACCTGACTGCAGCCATTCGGTTCAGAAGGAGCTGGTGGGTTCATGGAATTGCTTTAGTCTCATGATTAAGAACTTTGAGATTATGTCTGTCTCAAATATTGGTGAAGTTAGTGGCACAAACTTTTTCCGGCTCGTTCATGGAGAAGGTCAATTATGTGGTTCCTTATTCAATGGTAATAACTGTACATCGGACACAACCCAGGATGTTCTTTTGATATCGTGCATGAACTCTGCTAGCGGGCGGGGAGGAGGTGATGGTGCCAATATGCTGTCTTTCGGCTCTGCTGGAACTAAAATTACTTACCTATGCAATCCCCAATTATCTCGCAGTTACACATCCATACTTGTTCATTGCGGGACAATCATTGCACCTGGGGGCCGCCTAGATTGGGTTAGCCATTTATGTTCGTTCTTTAGCTTGCCTTTTGAAAAGGAATCATCTATCATTGATGTAAACCAAGCTGAGCCTTCTTCAAATTCTACGAATTATGAGGCATCTTTTTTTCTTGATTTGGTGGATGTAGCTCTAAGTTATGAGCCACACTTTAAACGTCTGGCTATAAATGGTGACAGTGCATATGCTGGATGTGATGATATTTTTGAGCTAAGTCAAGGAATAGCTGAACAACTAGTGGGCTGCCTTTTAGCTGCATCTTCATTCAGCGTATCTAATTATGCCATGTCAAACTCTGCAATTAGTGATTACAATATCCAGTTACAAGATTTGGGACTTCTTATTTGTCAGTCCTCAGGCTTGAACAATGATTATGGGAGTTATGATGTTAGTTATCTGCAAAAGACTGGTTATGCCAAAGTTGCTTCGGGTAACCTTTTAGTGGCTATTATCAAAATTAGTAGCTTAAGGTGGGAAGTTGAATGTTCAGAATCGCATATCAATTTTGATACCTGCCATGATACAACTCATGGTCTGTTTCGCTTGATTGCTCAGTTGCAGCAGCTTTATGCGCCTGATATGGAAGATACTCTTGCACACCTGCAATCTAGGTGGAAAAGCGTCCAGCAAAGTCAAAACGCAAATGAATCTGATGATGCTTCAGATAGTTCTCATTCTTCTAGTAGTTTGGATGCTGGGAAGAAGCTTTCTACAAGTGATGACAACTCTTTGTCTATTGGGCTGTTGGATGGGATTGTTGAGAATGCTTTTCACCCAACCAAAGGGTCTAGTATTCGTCTTAATCCTTCTGTACTTGGCCAGGATAATTATTTTGATAATGTGAATACAAATTCGAGCATCTCTCATGTTGACGATGTCTCTTCTGTGAAAGTGTCTTTTATGGGGTCAGCTTGTAACTTGGGAGTGGAGCACTCTTGTTTAGAAAGTAACTCAGTATTGGATAATATTGAAATAGAATCTGAGAAGGAAGAATCTCTTCCCCAACTCATTGAAAGCTACTATTTTCCTGAGATAATTGCACCTTCCCTAACTGTGAAAAGAAGTCTACCAGTAGAAGATCAGAGATGTAAATATGGTTTGCCTTCTCGTGTTGTTGACGGTGGAAAGGGTGGATGGTATGAGGATGGTCACCTGATGATAGTAGATAATCATATTCCAAATTCTATACTTCTTGATTCTGATCAACATCATGAGAAAACAAAGTTTGTGCCTGGTGATTCGGATGCTTCTGCTCATTGCAGTGAAAAAGGGAAGATACTTCTTAAGAATATAGATGTTAGATGGACCATGTTTGCTGGATCAGATTGGTCTCAACAAATGAAAAATTCAACTGGAAAAGATGCAAGTATATCCTTGGAACTTGTTTTGTCAGGGTTAAATATTCAATATGCAATATACCCTGATGGTGAGGTCAATGTCTCAAAACTTTCCATCTATTCCCAAGACTTTCATCTCTATGACAGAAGTACAACTGCTCCATGGAAGATGGTATGATTTTTCAATACTGGGAACAACTTTAGATGTTACCAAGAATGTATACTGCACAGAAAACTGTTTAAGAATTTAATTTTCCCCCATTTGTAGGTGATTGGGCATTATAACTCCAAGGATCATCCAAGAGAATCCTATGCTAAAGCATTTAAGTTAGATTTGGAAACTGTGAGGCCTGATCCAACAACACCTATTGAAGATTACAGGTAACTGTTAAACTGTTAAAATCCATTACTTAATTAATAATGCATCATTTGTTATCATAAAAAGCTACATAAAAATTTGTGTTTAATGCGTTTTTTCTCCAATGAATTATTTGTTAATGTATCTTTTGTTATTGCAAAATCTACATCAAAGTTTATGCTTTATGTAGTTGCTTGGTGATCCTGACTATTTGCACTTTTTTGTTCTCTTCTTATGAACTTTTTAATATTTTGATAGGAGACTCTATTAATCGTTGGAAAACAGCGAAAATTCTCCACAAAAATCCCCACAAAACTAGGAAAACGGTAGATAATTTGTATTATTTGATGAAAGGGAAACGGAAAATACCAAGATACGATTGATCCTCTATTCGAGAGGAGGATCTATGATGCGGGCAAAAGGTATAGGGAGCCTATACCCTTCGCCCACAAAAGAGAGACGACGGACTTCTAACGACGAAATTGAGGAGGAGAAAAGAGACGAGAACAATAGGGAAGAACAAACTCTTACATTTCAATTTTAAAACCAAATAAAAAAAAAATTATGACGACGACTTACAAACAACACGACAGACATCCTAAAGTTGCTGCACTTTGAGAAGAAGGATACTGGTGGAGCGGCACTTGCGGAGAGACGAAGAGATTAGAAGCCCGAGAAGAAAGGGTGGAAAGAGCCTGCAGGATTTCCGGAGGGGATGAGAAAAGAAAGTTGGAAAGAGCCCGCAGGATTTCCGAGCAACCCGCAGGTTAACAGATTTTCCAAAAATCAAATATCATTCACTTAACTATTTCAAACATTACAATACCCCCATATATATAGGTATGAAAGGGGAAGACCAAAAGACACCTTACATTAATTTAACACTTAATTCAAAGCACTAAACACATAGAAAACTCCCCCCCCCCCAAGCTCACGGTTTAACACCCAAACCAGGAACCAAGGAGACAGCCACGGGAGACGAGGGGAACCGCACGGACCAAGAGCCACGGCCACGGGAAACGAGGGACGGTCACGAAAGGAGCCCAGCCGTGAGATCCCAAGAGGCAAACACAAAATACTAAAAGCCATGAGGAAACCAAGGAGTCACCTCATGGGAAAAGCAAATTTTTGGAATTCTAAAGGCCGGTTTGGAATTCCAAGAGACAAACATTAAAACAAACATAAAAAACATAAAATTACATTAATTAAAAGATAATAAATGAACTAAAATGTTAGCTCATAATGAGCTAACCCTTAGTTCAATAAATGAACCAAAGCCCCCAGCTCATAAATGAACTAAAAGTTTAGCTCAAATATGATGAACTACTAGACTCAAGGGAAGCCAAAATTTGATTTATTTTGGACTAGTGTTGACCCCCCCTTTGTCTGCATCAGACTCCCCTTCTTGCGAATTCAGCTCTTGATGAATTATCTGTTGTTGATTCTCTTGAGGCGGTGCATATAGTTCATCGAGCTCCTTTAGTTTTTCAGCAAACCTCTTCAAAATTTCTTCATGTTCTTTTTCAAATTGTTGTTGTAGAAATCTCTTGTACTTCTCGAATTTTTGATCACATAGGAACATGTGATACTGAAGTTTGTAGAGTCGATCTTGAAGTGGATCCGTTGAGTCTCCTTCTGTAGGTATCCATCTGTCCAACGGGAGTGGGACATCAGGATTATGTTGATCGCTTTCTTCCTGGAATGTATCCATATTTTTGGTATTTTCCATTTTTTTTAACTCAATAAAAAAAATTACAAGACTCAAAATACTCAAACTAAAAAACTTAAGACTTATAATAAGACTCTAAACTCTTGACAAACTCAGACTTGACAAAACAAAACTTTGACAAACACTGACTTGAAAACAAAACTCGACAAACCAACCTAGGATTTCCTAACTTGCTCTGATAACAAATGATGCGGACAAAAGATATAGGGAGCCTATACCCTTCGCCCACTAAAGAGAGACGACGGACTTCTAACGACGAAATTAAGAAGGATGAGAAAAAAGACGAGAACAATAGGGAAGAACAAACTCTTACATTTCAATTTTAAAACCAAATAAAAAAAACTATGACGACGACTTACAAACAACACGACAGACACCCTAAAGTTGCTGCACTTTGAGAAGAAGGATACAGGTGGAGCGGCACTTGCAGAGAGACGAAGATATTAGAAGCCCGAGAAGAAAGGGTGGAAAGAGCCCGCAGGATTTCCGGAGGGGATGAGAAAAGAAGGTTGGAAAGAGCCCGCAGGATTTCCGAGCAACCCGCAGGTTAACAGATTTTCCAAAAATCAAATATCATTCACTTAACTATTTCAAACATTACAATACCCCCATATATATAGGTATGAAAGGGGAAGACCAAAAGACACCTTACATTAATTTAACACTTAATTCAAAGCACTAAACACATAGAAAACTCCCCCCCAAGCTCACGGTTTAACACCCAAACCAGGAACCAAGGAGACAGCCACGGGAGACGAGGGGAACCGCACGGACCGAGAGCCACGGCCACGGGAAACGAGGGACGGTCACGGAAGGAGCCCAGCCGTGAGATCCCAAGAGGCAAACACAAAATACTAAAAGCCATGAGGAAACCAAGGAGTCACCTCATGGGAAAAGCAAATTCTTGGAATTCCAAAGGCCGGTTTGGAATTCCAAGAGACAAACATTAAAACAAACATAAAAAGCATAAAATTACATTAATTAAAAGATAATAAATGAACTAAATTGTTAGCTCATAATGAGCTAACCCTTAGTTCAATAAATGAACTAAAGCTCAGCTCATTAATGAACTAAAAGTTTAGCTCAAATATGATGAACTACTAGACTCAAGGGAAGCCAAAATTTGATTTATTTTGGACTAGTGTTGACCCTCCCCATTTTTCTACATCAATCTATCTCTCTCCCAAATCTCTAGAAGCCTCTAAAGCCCAAAACCTAAGAAAGATCTCAAATTTAAGCCAAATTCAAGATGCCCTAACCCTCGAAAAACAAAATATTTAATGCATACAATCCAAAAGAAAATCTCTAAACAGTCATTATATTCAAATTTCGCTCCTAAACTCCTCCTAAAACCTTCCTAGTTTGCTCTATTGGACTATGCAATTTGATCGACATGAGTAAGAGGCGGAACTTCTCCATCTATGTCACCCGTAAGTTGGCTCTGCATGGACCGGCTGGATCCATATAACAATACTCCTATTCCAAAGACCCACCTTGTCCGTAAGGTGAAAAGACGGCACCCTTCTCCATTCCCTCGTCATCGCAAACGGTAAGAACATGAATAGTTCAATCCTTATACATGTGCCCCGGCGTTTACCTCTCGTCACATCTGAAACAGAGCCCCTTCGCCCTCTTCTATTGTAATTCCATTTCTATGAGCTTATTGAAGTTGTCCCCAGGTCTTCCTCCTATAGTATTTTCCTTCAAAGTCTTCTGAAGAGTATCCGATGTTGGCTCCTTAGATGCAATAAGATCCGCTCCTCTCTCTAGGTGTCTCTGATCCTCTACAGATTAAGCTAGCTTCATAGCCTCTCCCAGGTCACGATGCCTCATCACTCTAACTGTTGTGTGGATCTCTGGTTTCAATCCCTTCATAAAGTTTCCCTCCAGTACAGTCTCTAGAAGCCAATCCAACGGCTGGCAAGGTACTCAAATTGCTCATGGTACTCCACCATTGTCCCCTCTTGCATCAAAGCGAAGAACTGCTCATAGAAGCCCCTCCCATACTGGTTTGGAAATGTTCAAACAAGACGTCCTTAAACTCCCTCCAGTTTCATATCGGTCGCCTCGTATCCCTCCACTGGTACCATGCTAAAGCCTTCCCTTCCAAGCACATCCCGGCTGCCATCAATCTCTCCCCCTCCATTAATATGTTGGCGGTAAAATACCTTTTTCACCTTGTAGATCCACCCATGGGCGTCCTCTCCCTCAAAAATAGGTATCTTCAACTTCCTCACCCTCAGATCGCCTATTTTCCCTTCATAATTTCCCCTTCCTCAAGAGAGTGGTTCCCCCAAAGTGTCCCAATCATCTCTTCTACGTTCATACCCAATCCTTCCATCAAATTCCACCTTCTCTTTCAAATTCAACACCCCTTAGATCATAACTAACCCTCCCCTTTCAAATTTTGCCCCCCTTTTGTCATAATTACCCTTTTCCCTTTCAAATCCCCCATCTCTCCTCTCCAAATCAGCACCTCTTTATTCTTGCCCTATATCCTCCCCCCTCTCCCATACCCTCTTCCTGACTCCTCCCTAGGAATAGATTCTAGGGAGACATTTTTTTTGTTCCCTCCAAAATCTCCAACTTTTGATCTTCCCTTTGTCTGATTGGCTTAGGGTATCCCCACTTCTCTAGCTGTCGACGCCTTCCCTCACCTCCGACGAAGATATTTTGATTTAGCCCTCGAGAACTTTCTTCAAGATCTTCTCCAGTATGGAAAAAATCGAATATATCTTATCATGGACGACTGGAATATTCTTTTTTAAATCTGAAACTTGAGTTTGGAGATATGAAATTTCATATTTCATTTGTCTGATCTCTCCTTCTAATATCTCTACCTTTCTTCCTGCCATAAGTCCCCAGATCTTTATTATTCTCGAAAATCCAAATTTCCACCACAAAAATAGTAAAAATCACTGCCTGAAATAGAAAAGATTGCCGCAGGAATTCTCCAAAAATTGCCTAAGAACAGTCCGGAAAACGCTTTGATACCAATTTGATAGGAAACTCTTGAAGATCTTAAGTAATTCCTATCAATCTTTGGAAAATAGCAAGAATTATCCACAAAAATCCACACAAAACGAGGAAAAATTAGATAATTTGTATTATTTGATGAAAGGGAAACGGAAAATACCAAGATACAATTGATCCTCTATTCGAGAGGAAGATCTATCTCTTCCAAATCTCTAGATGCGGCTAGAACCCAAAACCTAAGAAAGATCTCAAATTTCAGCGAAATTCAAGATGCCATAACTCTCGAAAAACAAACTATTTAATGCATACAATCCAAAAGGAAATCTCTAAACAGCCCCTACATTCAAATTTCTCTCATATACTCCTAAAACCTTCCTAATATGCTCTTTTGGACTATGCGGTTTGATCGGCATGAGCAGGAGGCAGAACTTCTCCGCCTCTATTACCCGCAAGGCGGCCCTGCATGGATCGGCTGAACCGGTCTAACATATTTCTTTAGAAATATTGCTTCTAGTACTTCAAAGCAGGACCCCTAACACTTTGAAGTTAAGGACTCCTAGCTTACTATTTTGGATGTTCTCTTTTAAAATTGAGCCTTATGCTTCTAATTTTACTTCTCAGTGAAACTATGCAACAACAATATCATCAAGCCTTTGTCCCACTATGTGGGGTCGGCTACATGAATCCTTTTTCGCCATTGTGTCTTGTTAAAAGTGGAACTATGTGCATTTTGAAAAATAATGCTTGATGAAGTTATCTCACTGTGTAATTAGGGCTTGACGGTATTCTTTCCTTTCTATGGACAAGAATACTTTTTACTGCGTTGCTTCTTACTTTTTCATCATTGGTTCTAGAGACATGTATCTAGGTCTGGCAGGCAATTTATTCTTATCAAGCTGAGACTTTTCTTACTAACGTTTGATTGTTTTTAGTTACATAAATTGGTAGTTTGATTAATATCAATTATCAAATGATGCAGGATAAAGCTTGAACTGACTTAGCAATTTTTTTTGGTTGGATATTTTCTTATGAAAATATCTGTTGGGACTAAAGTGTTACTTCAGTTCATGTGATCTGTAACATAATTTTGGTGATTTATGGTATTTTGTTGTGGTTTTTTGTTCAGTTCACCTGTATGTATCGTATTCAATTTCCAACCGATGGCCTCCACTGATGAGGTGTTCATAATGATGGTATTTGGACCTCCGAATGGTAGATAGTCAACTAAGTCCCCACCACATATGCTGTAGGAAATGGGAGGGTTTTTTGTGGCAAGAATGATGGATGTTGCAGGTTTGGGGGGTGGTGGGGTTGGGTTTTGTTTATTGCGGGTAAAAGCTTATTGAGTTGGGTTGATGAGCCCCATTATTAGTTAGGTTGGTGGATTTTTTATCTTTTGTTTTTATGTTTGTGGGCTGTGGGTGGTGGGCGGGGAGCCACTCATAAAAAATGCATCAGGAATACATAACAAATTTAACTAAAATTGCGAGTCATTTTTGTAAAATTTACTAGAAACTAATATAAAAGTATGTCATAATTTTTTCTCCTCCAAGTTACCGTTCAGAATCATTTTAAGATGATATTTGATTTTCTTGTAGTTTTAATTAAAATTTTGGTGATAAATCTCTTGGTACTTCTAATGGATTTTTTGCGTAGGAGCTATTGATACAATTTTCTTCTAGTGTTGAGGAGAGTAGTTTAGCACTGGCTGCGCCCTAGTATAGTTTAGTTTACTCTTAAGGATTGGAATCTTAGCTATGGAAGTCACATTGAAGTGAGTTGCAGTGAGGTCGATTTATTCTGTTGAAATTGATGCAGTACATGTCACTAATCAGGTCAAATTAGCCTGCAGAAGTCTAATTGGTCATATGCCAATTACGAGGAGTCAAAACTAATCCACAACAGAAATAAACTAAGTTCATTTTCATCTCTTTTTAGCCCCATCTGGTGGATTTATTATCAGAATTAATCTTAAATATATGTGTTTTATTATTAATTTATTGAAGTTTATTTCATTTGGGTGGACTAATGTGTACAATTATTGAAACTTAGGGGATCATCGTGGGATAAATAGAACCTCAAGATATCATTAATTTTTTGAGGAACCAAATAAGAATTTACCTTTTTACAAAAACAACTTTATATTTTCAGCGATATCTATGATTTGGTTTGATTTGTCTCTTGAATGCATTTTTTTTTGGGTAATTGATGTTTCATCTTATCACAGTTATGCTCTAGTCAACCATTTCTGTCTGGTTGAGAAACAACTAAAACCAAGCCACTTTGCTTCACATGCCTTAACATACGCAAATCTTTCAAATAAATCTTTTGCTCTTCTATCCCATGCCACAATTAGTCTCTAGCGTGTATGGTTTACATTAGTTTCTATTATAAAATCTGTTCTCTGCTTGTGTCTAATGTTTGTTTTGGGCAGGTTATATCTTGAATTTCTTCCATTACGGTTGCATCTGGACCAAAGCCAGATAAATTTCCTTATCAGTTTCTTTAGCAATGGATCATCTGTTGAAGAGTCTCCAAGCATATCTAAGGATTCCGATATGTCATGTATAGCTGAGAAAAAGATTAATGTCCATAGAAGTCAGCCAATTGTTGAGGAAGCATTACTTCCTTTCTTTCAGGTGAGCATTTTGGTGGTCCGGTGTAATTTCTTCAGTCTTGTGGTTGCAGATTTTTTATTCGATAGCATTTTTGCTAGTTTTTTTTAAATTTGTTCATATGATTATCATCAGCTGTTCCACGAAGTACTCCAAAGAAAAACTTTGATATTCTTATGAAACATTGTTGAATGGCTGAATATTAGTTGGTTTTTCTCTATTGGATCTGTAGCATGGTTCCCTATTTCTAGTGAAGAGAAAGATATCTTACAAACCTTCTTTGTTAGAAGAATGGAAGTTTTGTTAAAAAGTGGTAGTTTACCTGTGTGGTAATTCATTATTCTTGAACGCTTAAATTGCTAGTTCTTTTTTTATTAAACTTGAGGAGATTTTGTTTTAATAGTTAGATTATGTTCACTTTAACTTGCACTCTTTGACAAATCTATTATTTAATTATTATAGATAGTCTGCTTTAAAGTATAGCTTGGTAAATGCTTTCTTTTCCATAGAAGTGTCTCTACAAGGTGCGTTTTTTTTTTCTGCCTTTCAGATCCTTTCTTTGGTGTGTGCGCGCATTTATCTGCATACTTTGGTAGTACATATTATGTAATTATAATAATCTTAAATTTTATTTTCTTTCCAAAGCTATGGCGCTAGGTACTTTTCATTTGTAGCTTTTACAAATATATTGCGTCTTGAGGGCATCCTTGGTTTTGGACTGACTCCCCATCTCTTTATTTCAGAAATGTGATGTGAAGCCTGTGGTTGTGCGTGTTGACTATATTCCTCGTCACATGGATCTAGCATCACTTAGAAGTGGAAACTATGTTGAACTTCTAAACCTGGTATCCTGGAAGGTAACATGGTCTAGTAACTCTAGTTTTGTTTGTTTTGTTACTATTGTTTGGCTTTCCGATAGAACCTGTCATTAAAATACTGGTTCATTATATTGGATACAAAATTGCAAGTTAGCTATCATATTACTATGAGATTGCAAGACTTTCTAATGTCTTACTGTTTTGGTTTAGTGACATCTTCAGTGAGTTGTTATTTTTTATACATATCTGTTTTAATAGCTGTTATGTTTAGGTATAAGCATTTTACTTGTTTTTTTTAACACAAGCTAGTTGTTAATTGTTTGACATCAAAATAGTAGATATCTCCGACCCCCAAACATATTATACAGATGTGGTCGTGGTAGCATATCGTAAACAAGCATTAACATCCAGCCCAACAAACACTAATTGCATCTTACACTGATGTTCAATAACAATGAAGTCTACACAACTGCTTTAGAATGACTTTGTCCTCATGTATATGTCCATAGTTTCAAAAAGATGTTTGAAACGTGTTTCTTATGTGTCGTAGGATGTATTATTTCTTTGTGTTAGCCTTGATGTATTTTAGCGAGCATTATAAGTCTTGAGTCTATATAAGATCTTTAGTCTTTTATTTAGGATCATTGCATGATGAATTGAGAAGTTCATTCGTCTAATTTATTTTACTCCTTTTTCTTATTACCTTTCCGTTTCTCCTATATTGGACTCCGCCAAGTTTTGCAATGCATTCTGTATCAATTACCAACAAACATTCAACATGATGTGAACCAAACAAGCCTTAAATGTCTGTAGACATCGAAGTAATAGCTTTTTCAACATTTCTCCCTTTATAAAGTTATTAAAGTGAATTGAATCTTTATGAAACATCTTATCATTCATGGTTAGATACTGCTCAGCTGCCCTTTAATGCTGGCAAAATTATAATTGGTTTGTTCTTGAAGCTTAGGGTTCTAGTCTGATTGATGCAAAAGTTTGAAATTTCTCTCCTATCATCCTTCTCTTTAGCTATGCCCGCTAGTATCAAGGAACACGGATTACTCGGCTAATCTAATCACAATTATTTGAAAATTTGTAACTCTAGCTAAATTATACGTACAGACAACATGGTTATTTGATCTGTAATTTAGTGTTATAAATATGCATGGAATGTATTTGTGATGGATGGATGGATGGACTGATGGAAGCTCTATATTAAAAGCTAGTGATAAGTTAATGATGCTTTTAATCAGAACAATATTCCTCGACCTATGTGGTATGGAGATATTGCAGTCCAATGGCTGGAAGTAAATGGCACTAACAGCTCTTTTTCCTAAATGAACATCTGGTATTAACAAGTAAATCCATTTGTTGAATCCGTTATTTTCTGAAGGTAATTAGTAACGCCTATTTACTGTTACATGTGCACAACTAGTGATTTTTGGGGTTAGTGTGGATCTCCAATCATTAAAGTTTCATGTTAATTTGTATGAACGCTTACTCAGAAGCCATGCATTAAAGCTAATGATAAGTAAATGATGCTCTTACTCGTAACATTATTCCATGTCTTGTGTGTCATGGTGGTTTGAAGTCCCATGTTTAGAAGTAGATGAATCATGAAAGTATAATTCCTTCTTTGTCATGCAAAGGGAATTTCTTGCAATAACAGCTGAAATTTTCTTTGGAGCCATCAAGTGTGCAAGGGCCGCTGCATCGGCGCCCGGATGCAGTGTTAAATAGGCAATGTTTACCACATTATGAATGAATGTGGGTAAAGAAGCTAGTCCATGAGATTAAAATTAGGATAGGAACTTGGAATATAGATCCCCTTACAGTCAAATTAATAAAATTAATATATATTATGATTCATAGGAAGATAAATATTCTATGCATTCAGGAAACTAAATGGGTTGGAGAGAAGGCTAAGAAGATTGATAGTTTAGGATTTAAACTATTGTATTCTGATAGGAGTCATATTAGAAATGATGTAGGTGTGATTATGTATAAGAGTTTGAAGTTTAATATTATAAAAACTAATAAATTAGAGATAAAGTTATAGCTTTAAAGATTGTTGTTGATGCTAAGATTATTAATATTATAAGTGTTTATGTTTCTTAATTAGGTTCGGATGTGTTTAAAATTAAAATTTTGGAATGACTTAGAAGAATTAATACAAAAGATGCATCTAAAAAAAGAGTTTTTATTGGAGAAATTTTTAATGGATATGTTGGTAGAGAGGTAGATAATTTTAAAAGTATTCATGGTGATTATTAGTTGGGAGTGATTAATAAATGTGATATGACAATATTAAATTTTTTTAGCTTATGATTTTATAATTTGTAATATTTTATTTAAAAAAAGAGATGAGCACACTTATAAGAATGGATATAGTAAAACTAAATTTTATTATTTTCTTATAAAAAAATAGATTGTTTACATTGCAAAGATTGTAAAATTATTCAGAGTAAAAGTTTATGTACCTAACATCTCTTATTAGTTTTAGACTTTAAGATAAATAGGCAAAAATAAAAAAAGTAAAATATTATTCTAGGATTAGGTGAGGCTTTTAAATAATATTAATAAAAATATTTTCTAGAGTAAAATTCTAGATCTTAAGATTTTGTCTGTGCATGAGGAATCTAATGTTATGTGAAAAAAAGTAGTAAGTGATATTAAGAGTGTTGCAAAAGATATGTTTTGATTATCAAAGGAAAAAATTCTTAGTAGTAAAAATAGTTGGTGATAGAATCAAAATGTGCAATAAAAGATAAAAAAATAAGAATATTTGCTATAAAAATTGGTTTAGAGGTAAAAATTTTGATAATTGTGAAAGATATAAAGAGGCCCGTAAGGCGCTTAAGAAAGCAATATACGATGCAAAGACTTTAGCTTTTAATGATTTATATAATATATTAGATACTAAGGAGGGCGAAAGATATATGTATAAGTTAGCCAAACAAAGAGATAACGTAGTAAGGATTTAGTTCAAGTGAAGTGTATTAAGGATGAAGATAAAAAAGTGTTTTTATTAGAAGAGGATATTCAACAAAGGTGCAGGAGATATTTTGCTAAACTTTTCAATAAAGATCGTGAGAATGTGATTGACATTAATGACCTTAACACCCTAAATAAAAAAAATGTTTGTTTTTATTGGCATATTAGTAAAATAGAAGTTAGAGAGGTTTTAAAGAAAATGAAGTGTGGAAAAGCTGTTGGACCTGATGATATTTTAATAGTGGTATGAAAATGCTTAGGAGATGAAGGAATTTCTTAGCTTACTAAACTTTTTAATATTATTTTGAAGACTAAAGGGATATTAGATGAGTGGAGAATGAGTGTGTTGATTCTTATTTTTAATAATAAAGGTGATGCATAAGATTGTGTGAATTATAGAAGAATTAAGTTAATGTGTCATACATTAAAACTATGGGAGAGAGTTATTGAGCATAGGTTGCGGCGTGATACTAATTTTTCTCAAAATCAATTTGGATTCTTGCTGGGTAGGTCTACTATGACAGCTATACATTTATTGAGAGGTTTGATGGAGAAGTATAGAGAGAACGAGGATCTACCTATGATATTTATTGATTTAGAGAAAACATATGATAAAGCTCAAAGAGAAGTATTTATGAAGTTTTCTAAAAAAGAGGGGTTAATAATGCTTATAGTCAAGTCATTAAGGATATGTATACAGGAGCTGTTATGTTTAAACACAAGGTGGTTTAACCAAGTACTTTCCTATTTCAGTTGGATTACGTGAAGGATTAGCCTTAAGCCCATGGATGCTCTTAATCGACATTTGCAAGAGGTTGTACCCTAGTGTATACTTTTGCTGATGATATTCTTCTTGTTTATAAGACTAGAGATGGAGTTGAAGGTAAACATGAATTATGGAGGTCAACCTTAGAGTCTAAAGACTTTCGTTTGGGTAGATACAAAATTAAATATATAGAGTGTAATTTTAGTAATAATAGATCTAGTAGGGGGAATGTGACTTTGGGTGATCATGTCATTAATAAGAGTACACATTTTAGATATTTTGGGCGATTGTTCAGAGTAGGGGTGGAATCGAGTCAAGCCGGCTCGCGAGCCGGCTCGAGCTCGACTCGACAGTAGGCTTGACGAGTCGAGCTTATCGAGCTCGATAGCTTATTGAGCTCGAGCTCGACTCGACTCGAGAGCTCGTCGAGCAGCTCGCTTCACTGGGAAAAAATAAATTGTCGTGGGAATATGAAATCAGGGACGGCGTGGACGCGGGAAAAAGGATGGCGAGCAGTGACGCGGACAGAGACGACAGACGGGACCATACAATGCAAGACTCGACAGAGATCTCCCGCAACAAGATCTAAGCGGCGCTTCCCAATGCATGCGCCGCCGGAAGACTTCCATGTTGGATCTGGGAACCCTGGGGTTCTGAGCTAGAATAACATGGGATATTAAGAGAGATTCCGGCAACACATAGACTGGGAAGCCGTTGTGGAGCCCCGGGAGGAAAGCAAGGGGGACGAACATAGAGAAGAAAACAAGCAGTAGGATCACGCGAGCTCGAGCTCCTCCGGCCTTCTCCGGTCAGGAGTTGCACTATCTCGACAGATCCGAAAAGAGCGGTCTCTCCCGCAGCTCCATCACTTCGTTGTCCGAGCTCATCCGCTATCCCTTCGATGGAAACTATTTTTCTTGCTCCCAGTGGTTAGCAACGATGCAGACGACGAAGCGGACACCGACACGGACGACGACGCGGACACCGACGCGGACGACGACGCGGACACCGACGCGGACAGCGACACAGACGACGAACGACATACGCGGACACGAGCAGCGACGCGCGAGCAACGACGGACGCGGGCACGCGAACTCGAGCTCGAACCGCTGCTCGAGAGCTCGACGAGCTTTTTTTTTTCTGTCGTGTCGAGCTCGAGCTCGACTCGAGTTCGAGCTCGAGCTCGACATTTGACAGACGAACTCGACTCGAACAACCCTTGACTCGTGCTCGATTCGACTCGTTTGCACCCCTAGTTCGGAGTGATGGTGAAATAGATAGGGATATTATTAGTATATTTAAATTGGATGGTTGAAGTGGAGGAATGCATGGGGCTTGTTGTGTGATAAAAAAGTCGTCCTTAAACTTAAAGAAAAATTCTATAGTATGTTTGTTATACACTTGCAATATTTTATGGTACAGAATGTTGGCCATTAAAAGAGAAGCATAATATTAAGTTAAGTGTTGTAGATATGAGGATGCTTAGGTGGATGAGTGGCTTTACTCTTTGAGACAGGATACAAAATGAGCATATACGTGAAAAGATTGGAGTAGCTCCAATGGAAGATAAGATTAGAGTGAGTTGTCTTAGATTGTTTGGTCACATAAAATAACGGCCTTCCGATTATCCTGTTAGGAATGTAGATGTATTAGATTTAACTTATGTTAAGAAAGGTTGAGGTAGACCTAAAAAGACTTGGTTAGAAAATATTAAAATGACATTTCTTTATTAGATTTAAATGAGAATTTGACTCTTAATAGGACACAATGGAGAAAAAAAAAATTCATGTAGCCAACCCCACATAGTGGGATAAAGGCTGGATGTTGTTTTTGTTGTTGGAAAGTTCAATGCCAAAGCCAAATTTAGGCATGATGGCACCAGTGGCGGATCCAGCCTCATTTTTTAGGGTGGGCAAAATTTTAGTTAATTAAAATAATAATAATAATAATAATATTATTATTATTAATAATAATAATATTATTATTAAATAGTAATAATAATAAAATATTTTTTTAATATAATATTGATTTTAGTAATAAAAATTGAAGTATAATCATATAAGTTATGTTGAACCTAGACTCTAACTTAAAAAAATAATAATAAATTAGCCAAACGTTATCTAACTAAGATAAAAATAATAATCAGCCAAAATTTTGCCAAAAAACACCTTCAGGTCCAACTAAAAAGGTTTTATTGTGCTTAAAGTAGCTTGTGATTAATTAAAAAAAATCCATCCTATAAGGCTATAACCATATTTTGAAGATTAATGCCTAACCATACGAAAGAAAACCTTATTTGTCAATCCAACAACTGCATCTAGACTTCTAGTGTTCTAGTAAATTTCTCCAAATATACTCTAGTAGCAGCTATGCAAAACGTTAGTGTTAAATTCATAAAATGCTAAGTTGCTACTTCTAATTAAGTAGATAATAGCTATTAGAGCATGCACAATATCTTCGTCCCTCCGTAGGAGCTTACCAAGAAGACGAGGTGCAAGGTCTAGGGCATCGGTTTGATTGAAACCCCACGGCATTAATGCAGCCGCCGCTAATAAGTTTAGGGAAGTATTGAACTGAACAAACAGACCGGAGGCAGGGAATCCAAATGGTGAATAACAAGGCAGCGACGGCGAAGCGAGAAGGCATCGAAAACGAAGGCTCTTCAACGTCAAATGCTGAGAGTCTGAGAGATGTGATTCACAACTTGCAAGACCGGTTGGACGTTGGGATGGGCAAGCATGCTCAGGTTATGGAAAAAAATATTTTTGAGAGGGGGCAGAGTTTCAAAAAAAGCCCTCTAAGACATTAAATTTTGTTTTTGAGGGTGGGCATTTACCCACCCTGAGCTGGCTAGGGATCCGCCTTTGTCATGATGCAATCCCAGGACTTTGGCAACAATTTATAAGGTCTTTACCAACTAAGATAGTTGCACACGTTGAGGTATTGCAATCACGTGTTTGGAATTTGGTGAGTCATGAGAGTACAATCTTCTGATATTATGTGAATGGACCACTTGCATTAAGCCATTAACAAGTAAAACCTTTTGTTGGATCCATCATCTTTTGAAATATAGTTAATGGTGCCTATTTACTATTATTTTTGTTGACCAGCGAGTCTTTGGTTGTGAATCGTGAATATTGATAATGATTTCAGTTGTTTGAAAATCTGGATATAAATCTGATAACTATGTAATGCTGATTTTATTTTTTCGGTATAGACCACTTCTTACGTAATTCTGTGATAATTCAAGTATCTTGAAGATTTAAAGCACGCATGGTTGATTTTTATTTGATTTGCTTTGTTGAGTTTCTGGAGAGCTATATTCTTATACTAAAGTTTTGCTCATGTTCTATTAAACTCCGTTAAAAAATGAGTTTTATTAAACCAAGAATATGAACATATACTTTGTATAGGCATTAGCTTCTGCTGCGTTGAACCTGGAACAAGGATATGGCTGCATTTTTGTAGGTTTACGTAGATAAATGGATAATGAGTAGAAATTACTGTACCTTTTCCTAACAATCTTGTGCAACTCAATTTGCTTTTCCAATTTTCAAGGTTAGCTAGTTGCATTCTAGGTAAGTTGTACTTAAGAAACTCTTTTTTACTTGCAGAATCATAGATTAATATAAAATGTTTTCAACATGAAAGCTATTTTTTTTACACTTGTTGTCTCATTATAATGCTTGTAGATGTAATCTGTTATGATTATTGGTCCATCCTGTTTATAACAAATTTATGTTCTTAGAAACGCAGCTGTCAAATTTTATTGTGCTTGTTTCATTGACATGATGAAGATTGTAGTTATTTGGTAACCTTATATTGCAGGGGATTGACTTACAGCTGAAACAAGTGTGTGCTGTTGGTATTTATGGCTGGGCAAGTGTGTGCGAAACGGTAGTTGGGCAATGGTTGGAAGATATTTCTCACAACCAGGTCTTGAACTGTCTTTGTTTTTTTTTTTTTTTGCTTTTCCAACTTAGTCTCATGCTCAACTTGTCAGTTTCATCATTTTATTCGGGTCCTTTGTAGGTTCACAAATTATTGAAAGGCCTTGCTCCTGTTAAGTCATTGGTTTCTGTTGCTGCTGGCACTTCTAAATTGGTTACCCTGCCTGTCAAAAGTTACAAAAGAGATAAGAAGCTTCTCAAGGGAATGCAGCGGGGTAAGGAAGAAGTATTTTATTGTCAAGGTGTACGATGTAGTTTCTGTATTAAAACTTTCTAAACTTTTTGGCTTCCCGTGTGTTTACTGTTTCTTCCAGTTTTGGTTGTAATATGTGGTTTGTTACTTTCTGAAGAGCCATCTAGGCTGTGATTGAACGAGAGATGAATTGTGATATATCATTTGTATTTCCATTAGCGTGAAGTTAACTACACAGAAGAATCTAGTCCATACCTAAAATCATTCTTTAGCTCTTTTTGTAGATAACACATAGGTTTTTATTTTCTTAATCTTACATTGTAACTTATCCCAGGGTTTTAACTGGTAATCTACTTTTCTGTAAAAATTTAGGGATTATTCATAAAAGCTTAGGTATATGGGTCAGATCTGCTTACTTCGAGTCTATTTCCCATGCTGATTCAAGTCATTTAAGAACAAAATTCATATAGAAGAAATAAAATACAGGAAAAAGTATAAATCTACTATGATCCTTTCTAACAATCAAATTTCCCCCCACTAAAAATGTAATTAATACCTTATGAGCTAGAGAGCTTCAAAACTTCCATCATCTACTTTTCAAGTCTATTTGGGTGGGGCTTAAGTTAAACTATGCCAAATAAGCTAAACATAGCTATGCTAAGTAATTAATTAGTTATTTAATGATTCCATGCTAATTAATGGGCTCTATTTATGCCCTAATTTCTCATATTTTTCATTTGATTTATTTTATTAGGTTTGATTATCTTCTTTTGGATAAATATTAGGTTTGAATTTGATTTTGAATAGGATTAGATTTTATATTAAATAATTGACCTCATCCTTATGACTATATTTACAAATAGGAATCCATGGGTAACAATTGGACAAATTATTGATTAATGAAATTTTATGGGCCAATCGTGTGCTTTATCTAGATTCAAGTTGTCTCCTTGGATTGCTTCAAGTTATATGCACAGAGTTATCTTGCTCACCTCTCCATGTTATGTATGTGAAGCTTTTTCTATCCCTTAATTTTGGTGTCAACGTGATCTAATCTTTCTTCTATCTCAATTCTACTTTAACTATATTTCCCAATCTCTATTTTACTCACCTCACTTTCATGCTCCTATTCTTATATATCATATTCTTCATAATCCGAAATTATGCTACGATCCTGTCTCCAGATCCCCAATCTTTTGAAAATCTTACCAAATCTGCTAAACCCTTAGTATCTGCCAATCCCTCAACCTGTAATATTTTTATTATTGCATTTGTCGACTTCATTACTTCTAAGAAGTAGTATAGGTTTGCATGAAACAGCACTTTAAGGCAGTTTACTAACATAGAAATGATATGTAATTTTCTTGCCTTGTTTTTCTGTTTGCCAGGTGCAATAGCTTTTGCTAAAAGCATATCTCTTGAAGCTGTTGCATTGGGGGTTCATTTGGCATCAGGTGCTCACGAGATACTACTTCAAACAGAGCTCATTCTTAGGAATATTCCAACAAATGCACCATCACCATTTGAAAAGGATAGAAGAAAGAAATCGGCAAACTCTAATCAGCCTGTGGATGCACAAGAAGGCATCCGGCAGGTATGCATTCTCTGGGCTGTGTCATTGTGTACTTTCAATTTGACGTCACTTGTCAATTTATCATACAGAAATCTATGATGAAATGAACTGAATCAATTATTTTTAAGATCTTGAGCTTGGCTATTAGCTTGGCTATTGGAAAAATGTTGGAAACTTATGAATTTCTAACTATTTTTTAAATAAAAAAAAAACTAGAACTGTTTATGTGACAGATCTTGAAAACACATTGGGTATATAAATTCTCTTCCAGTGCTATAAAATATTTTGAATTCATCACTTGGTTATCAGATCCTATATTAGTTACTGATAATATTCAAAGAGTAATTGGTGAATTCATTCATGACAAGTACGAAGTTTAGCTTATTCTAACTTTGGAATTCTTTTATTTCTCAAATTTAGCCGACCAACTGTCGTTGACTATGCACCCTCAAAACTTTTCTCACCTTACTAATCTACTTTTGAAAGTGCCATTATTAAACCTTGTTCTTCCATCGACATCTAGATCAACTGAAAGGTGCAATACATGCCAAGTGCTAAACCTGTTGCATGTTTGCAAAGTATTATGGGGCCTCCAGAATCATCCCTTCAACTTTTCAGATAAATTTTAAACATAAAATATGATATCCTATGCCCCATCATAAATGGGACGGGAGCATTGCCTTCATGTAACAGAAAATTATGATGTAAACATACTGAAGGCTTTTCATCAAGCATCTTTATATTCATTATACCTTGTAACTCCGATCACCTTGCCTGCTAATCATGAAAAATATAAGCCCTCTTTGCAACTAATTTCCAAGTGTATGGATTCACATATATGTTTATGATGTCTCTCACACATCATGCTTAATCATAGGCATATGAGAGTCTAAGTGATGGCCTCAGTAGAACGGCTTCTGCAATACTTGGAAATCCTATCAAAGAGTACCGGCGTGGTGCTGGCGCTGGATCAGCTTTGGCAACTGCAGTCCGTGCTGCCCCTGCAGCAGCTCTAGCTCCTGTTACTGCTTCTGCTCATGCCATGCACTGCGCTCTTCTTGGTATGAGGAACAGGTAGTTTCTTGTTTTGCTCATTTTTATCATTAATGCAGTACAAAGTTCTCGAACAAATTCCTTGTCAACCTAACCAATGTGACCTTGTCAGCCAAACTACAGAAGCATATGCAGGGGATAATTAAATGGAAAAGTATACAGTCAAACAAGGAATAAACTGCAAACTTGCAGTAGCTAATGGCAGTGTAACTCATAAGGATAAATTCATTGGTTTCAATAGAAAGCCGTGACTGACATGGTTAGATTTTAAAGTAGGACTGAAAATCATAAATTAAAAGTGTTGAGCCTTAATGTTTTTTTGCTCTCTATTTTTGCTTTTTACTATTATCAAATTGGTTATAAAAGTAATATCTCAAGTACAGTTAGATTTAGTGCATATTTATCAGTAGTTTCAGTCAAATCTTCTAAATTGTAGTCTGACTATATGAATGTTTGGCATGCACGACCACTAATTTTTTTCATTGGTGGATTGTATTTCCATGTGAGCTGGGTATATGAGAGCTACAAACTTACTGTGGGTTACTCTTTTTTTTTTTTCTTCCCTCACTTTCTAAGTCACTGTGCATCTATTGCTTTGGTAAATTTCTGATTTCTGAACCTCAAAAGAAATATATATTTATAAAAAAGCACGCATTTTATAAGGATATATAGTTTCGTACAGTCTATTAGCTGGTATTTTAATTCTTTGTGAACTTTAAATGGTGGCTGATAGGATGCATGATATATGATGGCAAATTTAATTTTGTTACATATTCATTTAACCATTCTGGAAGTTCCATCAAGATTATCAGTCGCTTACACTACTATTTCTTTTCTATTTTCAATTCAAATTATTTTCGGTCAATATATCCTTATTGAAAATGGATTTCTAGCTCTTGGACTTATCTTGAGATGAGTGCAAAATATATTTTGATTAGTTAGCCCTATCAAAATAAATTTATTGGCCATAAAATTCATTCCAATGAAATTTAGATCATACAAGGATTCATTCATTAGATTTTTTTTTTTTTCATTTTAAGATTTTTCACATTTCTTTATTAGTTTGTTTAACTCTTAACATGACACAATGAAGAAAAATGATTCATATAATTGAACCTACGTGGGAAAAGGATTGTTGTTGTTCTTGTTTTAGATTTTTCAAACAGATTTAATTTTTTGCGAGCGGATTTTTTTTGACTTTGTACGTTTACCAATAGGAGATCTCCATCCTAAGCTTTATATTGCTTCTCCCTACTATGTTTTCCTTCTAATACGACACCCCTCATTTCTTTGCAGCTTGGACCCAGAACGCAAAAAAGAATCTATGAACAAGTATCATGGTTCCTCCCGGCCATAGATGCTCCAAGGCAAGACTGCAAAACTGAAGATTCAGATTCAGCCTATTTTTGTTAGCTTTTGGCAACGCAATTTCTTCCAACTGATGAGTCCACACTGGACAAACACAACTTGTACAGAAATGTAAGTAAATATGAACTCTCCATATATATAATTCCCAATGCCCACCCTGATTCATTCTTTTTTGTTATTTTTCTTCCCTCCTGTAGGTAAATATTTAAACACATTCTTTTTGTACCAGAATGTAAATAATCCACGTCTTTATTCATAATCTCAGGGCTTATCTCTATGCTTTTGTAACCCCACCAGATGAGCAAATTGCTCTGTAAATATCTCACAATGTTTGTAATTTTTTGCTTCTCATCTTCTCTCATGTAAGTTAACATATATGAGTATTGTACTGCAATTTATTTGGATCACCACCTCTATTTGAAAAAAAAAAAAAATTGTATTGATCAATTTAGCAAGTGTTTTATTTGATTTTTTTTTTTTTTGTTTGTTGGTAAGTATCATTCTCTTTCTATATTTATAAATATATTATAAATTTTGATTTATTAATGATATGTTAAATTTGTGTAAAGGTTTTCGGTAAATTTGAAGGGAGAGATGGGTAGATTTGTAAATGCATGTAACTGTAGTGAATTCTTTGACATGATTGTTTTCTGTTGTTTCTAGGGCTGCCTGTGTCGTCTAGCTGGCATTAAGGCAGCCACGTGGGGCATTTTTATTGGTGTTTATTTGTGTTTGGTGCCACTCAGCTGCATTTGCCACGTGTGCATCCAATTCTTTATTAAGTGCTATTTAGGAATAAATTTTTTATTGCTTGACACATAAAAATTCAAGTTTAGATAATGAATAATTTTTATTTATGTTTATAGATATACTCATTCATTATTTAATAAGCAGGAGTTTGATAAAATTTTATTTTAATGATGATTTAATTAATTATTTAATATTTTATAACATTTTTTATATCGTTGTTAGGGTGTCAATTTCGTGTCACGGGTCGGGTTCGGGTCGAACCCGAAATTGACCCGGTATTATTCGGGTCAACACGAATCCAACTCGTTTGTGAAAAGGGGTCAGTTTTTCTGACCCGAACCTGACCCACTTCGGGTTCGGGTCAACCCACGAACTGAATGACCAGTTTCAAAATAAAAAAAAATTTGTTAGTTTTTGGGTAAAAACGGGTATATCTCTTTTTCAGGTCAAAATCAGGTCAATTTCGGGTCAAAGGGTTAATCCGAACTCGATCCGTTTCGGGTTCGAGTTGACCCGAACTCGAAATTTTCAGGTGGGTTCGAGTTGGGTTTTCGGGTCGTATCAAATATTGACACTCCTAATTATTGTTATAGGTACAAATATGATGAACATAATTTTTTGGCTGATAAGCTTGGCTTCTGCCATCACTATCCTATGACTAGATGCCAATAACCTTAAATTGCTACACCTTTTTCTTTTCTTTTCTTTTTTGGCTAAAATGTAGAAAGGTATAAACATGCATGCACGTAGAAGGAAAAGGCCAGAAATGATAGTCAAAAAGAACTGCATCATGATATTGATCATTCAAATAGCATAAACTTCAGGTTTTAAATTTGGTGGTCCAACATCATGACATTATGGTTTCGGTTGGGACAGATTTTTATTTTTTTTTAAGAAAATTTTTTAGTGTAAAGCTTAAAATTATTATAGAAAACAGTAAAAAAATATTTCAAACAAATCATATATATTTTTATACATCTAAAGCTCTAAATAACAATGAATAATTTTGACAAAATTTTTAATTAGCATGTCTTGCTTCATGATGTTTAAAGAAGTCAATTTTATGACGTTTGGATGTTGTGCTTCATAGACATTATCACACGACACTCCTATGGCTTCCCTTAATAGTTAATAGTTTACACATCATAGCTTTCTTTCAATGTGTATATTAGGGGTGTCAAAATTGAGTTTTAGGTTAGGTTCGGGTTGAACCTGAACTGAGCAGAGTTCAAACAAGTTAACTCGAACCTGATCCAAATTTACAAACGGTTTTCAAACACGAATCCGAATTCGACCTTACAGATTAGTGGGTTGACCCGACCTGATATGATTTTGCGAATGGGTCCAAAACAAAACCTTGAATACTTTTAACCTTATAATTCAAGGCATCTGAAAATTGTGCGCAAAATATGAATCTTGGATTGATTAAAAGTAATTGAATTTATTATAAATTAGGGCATTAAAATTTAGTTTGGGTGGCTTCAGCTATTTATAAAAATGGATGTAAAATTGTTATAGAGAAAGTAACTTTTTTGAAAGTTGATATAGAAAGCAGCTTTCTTACACAAAATATTTTGAAAATTTTGGAAGGGCAGTGATCAAATAGAAATTATGATTACGTTTTGAAAAACAAAATAATAAGAAAATTGTATAAAACATTGCTTAAATAATAAAAAAAAAATGTTTTAAATAATATAAATTTATAATCAAAGTGATCATCTCATTATAAAAATTTCAGTCATGAAAATTTATCATAATTTTATCAATTAATTAATTAATTATAATTAATGAAAGTGAAAATAATATAATATTAAAAATCATTAAATTTATTTTAAAATGAACTCAGTATAGATTTTGGCAAATTCCTAAAGTATTATTAAACCAATCTTCAAATAACTATAATATTTATTCAAATCAAATTTGATCAAAATATTCGATAAAAAATTGTATGCAATAATTATCATTAATAAATAAGGCGTCTTTTCCGTTCAAGAAAATGAACAATTAAAAATACAACGTTTTGCTTGTTTGTCAACCCAACAATTAAAAAAAAAAAAGTTCCGGCGAATTGTCGCCGGAGACACCGTTCAGGCGATCTCAGCCGGCGGAGGTAGGTTCAGATCAATACCCAACGAACGGAACCTCGTCGGCGGCGGCGACCGTGTAAAGTCCTCAACTGGGGAAGTGTCCGATTCGTCCTTCATGCCGAAGAAGAAAGGCTCTTCCGTCACCACCGCCGCCATTTCGTTGGATTTACCAAAGAAATACGCAGGCTTCGCAGCCGCCGCCAATTCCTTCCGAAAATCCCGGAACAAGAAGTTCGTCGGGCCGTCGCGATTGAGGTCGAGGGGAACGGCTTCACTTGATTCCTCTCCGACATCGGAGTAGGGAAAGTTCGTCTTGGCCCGAGATCCTCGGAACTCTATGGCAGCGGCGTCATAAGCCCTCGCCGCCGCCTCCGCCGTATCGAAGGTTCCAAGCCATACTCTTATCTTCTTCCCAGGATCACGGATTTCGGCGGCGTATCGACCCCACGGCCTCCTCCTCACTCCCCGGAACTGAATCTCCTTTCCGGCAGCGGCCATGGTGGCGGCGCACGTGATTTTGGTTCTCGGAGCCATCTAGGAAGTGAAAAAGGGTGAGATTTGATGAGAGCGGCAAAGGGGAGGAATTGTGATTTATAGAGAAAGGGGGATTTGAATGGACGGTTAGATGAACGGAGATTGAAAAGAATTGCGGTGTCAACGGGAATTTGACTTTGCTCCGCCGCCGCCGCCGCCCTCGTGTGTAATCAGTTTAGACATACTTCCCGTATAAATCCACGTGGATTTGATTTGCCAAATAATTCGAATTTTCATTAATAATGTGTACAAAAAAGTACACAATTAAATATTATATACACTTCATAAATAAAATATTATATATGTAATTGCCTTAAAATAGGTAGAATTATATAAATAACATTTTGATTATAGGATATTTAAATTAATTAAGATAAATTCACATATATATATATATTATATTTTTTATTAAACTGTATTGAATTTATTTCTTAATGATAAATTATTCTATCTTAAATTTCAATATTTGTTATATTTATAAAATACTATCATATCTAACCTTAATTACCATTAATATTTTGTATTTAAATCTTGCTATATTAATTTTGTAATCACCTTAAAATTATAATTTTCTGAAAAAACTAAATGAGAAATCATAAAACATATAATTTTTTTCTTGTCATTTTTTCGCGTTAAAATTGTGCTTGCCTATGGAACAAAACCTGCGGCGGATAACGGCCATTAACGGATGTTGCCGGCGCTCACGGCGGGGTGAACGTAGGCCCGCCGCCGACGACGCAGACGCCGTCTTACTCGGGTAGAACTTGGTGGGCCCGGCTACAGCGTGAAATATTGAACTTGTCCACTAAACTGACAGTTATGAGCTTATACTGTGCCAGCGGGGCAGAATTAACCCTTGCGTGACGGTGGCGCACCTGAACCCAACCGGACGGTGGTCCCTTGTCGGGTTTCTTATCTTGTAGCGGTTCAGCTTCAGGTGGGGCAGGCGGAAGGAACTACTATTCCGTCTAGAGCTACATCAGGTAGCTTATAATATGTCGCCACGTGCACTTACTCTTTACCGCGCGGCCCGACGACCCGACTCGGACCGAATCCGGGATTACTATGTTCGCGTATTGCTCGGTATTGCTACGTATTACTCGGTATTGCTTGGCAATAACGAGAAATACCACTATGTGAAGACCAATACCGAGCAATACCGAGTAATACCTAAAATAACTCGGTATTTTTCGGTATTGGTTTTGACATAATAGTATTTTTCGTTTGTTGTCGAGCAAAATAGACCAATACCGAGCTACGCAAACTCCCGGGTCCGTTTCGGGTCGGGTCGTCAGGCCGTGCGGTAAAGAGTAAGTGCACGTAGCGACATATTATAGGCTACCTGATATAGCTCTATGTCAGATAACCTGACGGAATAATTTTTCGGGCGGAAGCTGCGGGAGCGTTCAGATGTTCCGCGGTGCTAGATAAGGTTGTTTAGATTTTAGATGAGGTAACGGTCGTTAATTGGAGGGTTAACCGCGGAGGGATGATTAGCTGTGATTAGAGTTCTAAAGAGGATTGAATTAAGATAATGATTGATTAATCACGTAATTTACATGTGTTTAATGAACTTAATGCAGAAATTAATGTATAAGTATGCGAATATTATATGTTATTAAGGTAAGATTACTCAATTTTAAGTCTGGGAAGAAAATACTAATTGAAAATTGAATAAGTTTATATAATTGAGCAAAATCAATATATGATAATGAGTTTAAGGATTGTACAAGGCAGAGGCGGATTTACGCTGGGGGCCGTGGGGGCACGGGCCCCCACTGGCTGTAGTGAATACTTAATTAAAGTAATTCATGGCTCTTTAATTACGGCCTAATGTAAATTATTAATATTAAAATTTTCCCATACAGTCACACTTCACCTTCTCATGCCAGTGGTTGGCGACGATCTCTCTCTCTCTCTCTGTGTAACTCTACAAGCTACAGCAGATGCTGTAGATTTGAAAGTAAGAAAAATGGTTTGATGTGAACTACAAAGTTTCTTCTTATTTCCCTAATATGCTACTACTTTATGCATTTAAGTGGCTATTAGCATACCGTGCCATTTTAGTCTCTAATTATGTCTTCATTTTGAGACAGTTTTTTGTCACTATTTTTATATTGATTTCAAGAATTTTTTGTCTTTAATTGTTTTGAACTTTAATGGAGTTCAAGCCTTTGATTGAGACGGTTTTCTTGATGCTTCTTAAAGCAACTTTCTGCTTTAAGAAGCAGCAAGAAAGCCGTTCAAAACGAAACCTAAATCGAACCACAAATAAGCCAATCATCAGCAACAAAATATGTCTGGTAGGGCAAAAGACCAACAATTAGGCAATTAATTGAAGGGAAAGCGACAGTGTTAATAGAATAAAAGATGATAAGAAAGTATAGTAACTGAACAAACGATGATATAATAACGTCTTCAATGCACGGTTCCACTAATTCTATTGAAGGAAGAATCGATAGGACAGTGAAGTAATTCATGCAAGTTAACAAAATGGAATGGCAGAACTCAGGGCATTCATGGTGATTTTCAATGGATACGAAGTCCGCTACTGGAATGCTTGTAGGGCTCTTCTTTCCTTGGATCCTTGGGTTAATGGAAGATCTTTGATGGACTTAGGGCATCTTGCATCTCCACCAAAAATCCCATTTTCACTCCAAAATACGGTGAAACTAAAAAATTGCGTTATTCATCTCCAATCGAACTCCATTTTGCGCCCTTTGCAAAAGATAACCGTCTTTTTCTCTTTCGCACATTTCTTCGGCAAATCCGGTAGAGACAGAAAAAAAACGCAAGCAGGTGAACAATGCGACGCCAACGCCAATATGGCGTCGCACTGTCACCCGCAATCAAATATTGGAAGTTTTGCCGTGTGGTTGAAGCTCGCGAGCAATGCTATTCATGCATTTGGAGTTCGGTTGGAGAAGACCTTATATTCCCCTTCCCACCAACTCTGACATGAGTGTTATCATCAGTGATCACAACTGAGATATCTCTAATTTATCTAACTCTTTTATTAGAAGTTTCATAAGTGACGTTACAATTACCTGTGATGAGCAGGACACCATTGAGTGGAATGAAACCTCAGATCATGTTTTAAAGATCATCTTTTCTTCTCAAACCAAGCCATATAAGATTAAACTAATAAACAGTAGGCATATTAGCATAAGAAAATTATCATATATTACATAAAATAACATTCTAAGCTTTAGTTGAACTAAATCATTACTTTTAGACGTTAAAATAAATTTTCGTGTAGACAAAAATAGCTGCATTTTCAAAACCACCCAGTAAAAAATCTCAAATAAATACTAAAAATGTTCATAATCTCAATCCCTATAACTTTAAAAAAATTATGCGTGAAAATTTTACCTGTGCAAAATTATATGTATTTTAAGCTAACATATACAAAATTTTAATAAAAAATTAGTTAACAATTGCACATTTTTAAAAATTTTGGAAGAAGTATCTGCTATAGCTAAAAATTTCTGCTCGCTTACATCTGTGCGGGAAAGAACAGAGAGAAAAATTCGCAAATATTATGCTAGCTTATCAACATTATTGCACAAAATTCTCAGTGCTGTAGAGCATAAAATTTCTGGCTGAAAGAAGCATCATGAAATTCAAGCTGTGCTTCTTGTTATGAACTCATCCTATTTTGTCTCGGCTGCATGACTTGTTTTGATTCTCTGCAATACTGGATGGGTTATGTTTTTGTTGGTCTTAATCGCAACCGGCTTCTTTTAGCAGAATATAATTTCAGCTCCCCTGGCCGAGTAGCTTGGATTGTTTTGCTGATTCAAATTCATGAAGCTGGGTGATCTGTTTTTGGTTTTGGCGATATTTCCATCACTTTTTGTTATGGTTAGCATTTGCTTTTTGATTATGATTTGCATCCTCCCCTTATGGAGAAATTATTCTGTGTGGAGTCCGGACGGTAAAGAACCAACCGGATGTGATATACACAGTGTGTATATTGAGTATAATTTTGTACATAGTTTGATTTTTTTTTTACACAGTGTGTACAAATATTGTGTACACTCACATCCGGACGTTTCATTACCATCTGGACTCCGCACGAAAAAATTTCTCCCCCTTATAGATGTCTACCAAAGAAAACATTGGTTTGATTATATGATCACCATGATCAATCACTTAGTATATGTGCGATAACATATTCTACTGAATCCTGCGGGTTTTTTGCTCTTCTTCCTATTTGAAGTATGTTTCGTTCTCTTTGCTGATGCTACAATTAATTTTAGTAATATTGTGGCTCCCTCTTTACTGCACATTTAGTCATTTACATACAACTCCACCTTTGTGAATGGAATTGAGCTCAGGTTTTCATGTTGGTGAACAGCTATTGCTCTTCTTAAGAAATGAAAGAATCAAATACAAATAAAAAATTAGCCTTAGTAGGAAGGTGACGTTTGATGAGAGCTTCATGCATAAGAAAACAGTTCAAATTTCATAACAAAACCACATTTCTTTTGAGTACATGCAGTCAAAGGACAGAGAGGTAGAGATTTGAACAACTTTTTAAAGAGGTCCAACAGCTGCAACACACCATCGCTATCTCCAAATATTAAAAATAGGCGACACATTCAACACCTCAGAGCTGAAGCTAGTAGCAAAGCAGCCTGTGATTCCAGAGAAATTATTAGGTGCAGAGACCAGATGTAGAGGTATGCCTGAACTCCAATAAAATATTAACATGTGGAGTGGACACGTGAATATTCAATTAGATTTATTTTTTTATTTAATGTGTCCGCAGAACTTTAAACAAGCACACCGAAAGTGCAAGTAAAGCGCAGTCAAAAAGCGCAATAAAAAAGCAGTCAAAGCACAACTAAAGTGCAACTAAAACACAGATAAAATGCAAGTAAATTGCAAATTTTAAGTGGATGTCCGAATGTATCTTTACGGATTAAATTGATGCAATTATGCTCAAATATCACCACACCCAAAGACTTACATCTCCTGCTTTTGTTGACATAGTGGTTAATATTATCTTGGGAGAGAGGATGTTTTTGAGTCATTCTAAACAAGAAAAGCCATCGATCTTCTAAATATGAGCTTCCAAAGCAGAGTACAGCAAGAAAGTAAACGAGAGAGAAAAGCTTATGGTTAAGATATGTGGAGTAGGAACAAATATGGTTTATAGCATTTTGAGAAGGGGGTAATTTGATAAATTTGACTAAAATTTAAAATCGTCCATATTGATACCTTTGATCATAGAATTGATTATCCATTATAAACCGCTTAATAATGTTGAAATCAAATTATATTGAGCTCGTTGGATTCGTCTTATTGAGCTACTCAATTTGATCATAAATACACAAGATTTGGGAATCATTTGATCCTTCATTTCATATTAACAAATTTCAAATATAATTAAAGTGATTAATTTGAGTTCATTTGAATTCAAAATGGGTCATTTGTGATGTTAATAGTTCATCTCATCAAGAGGCTCAACTTAGAACTCAACGCTTAGTTTCAGGAAACATGTTTTACAAATTCAAACGAACCAAATGAGCAAACAAGATTAGCAAAAACAAAATTGAAATATGAAGATATCAAGTTTCTGGGATTCTGAAGTAGCGAGGTCCAGGCTTGAAAGGGTCGGTTTCCATATAGGCCTCAGAACGGTGGAAACCAGCGTCATTCATCCTGTTACTGAGCACATGAAGGATGGCCTTCTTGGCACCATACTCATCCCGATTCTTCTCCACATAGGCCGTAGCCTCGGCGGCCACCTCATTGACGAAGGTGAAGCGGTTCTCCTCTGAAAGCAACAGCCTTTCTATGTCAAGCGACATTATCTTCCCCGTCTCCCTTATTTTTCTTACCTGCTCCTCAAGAAAAGGGACCCGATCCATCTTGTGCTCGATCTTTACGTCTCTCTTTCTCTTTTGATTAAAGCAAATTTGTCCGATTTAGCAGCGGAAATCGATTAGGAAAAGAGGGGTTTTTAGTTTCTGTGGGGTTTGAGATTTGGAGAATACCAGTTTCCTGCGCCTCCAGATCCGTCTTCCGTTGTGGCCCTCTTTCTGCTACTTAGTAAATCGGTGAGTTGAGAGGGCGAGGTAATGAAGAAATTTGAAGCATAGAAGGTGGATATTGATACCTGGGATATGGCTGAGATGGACATCGGGCGAAAGCTGGATATCCATGGGGAAGCCTGCAAGAAATCATGGTGGAGGCACAAGGTAAGATAAACTAGGCGTTAGGAGGGATAGAGAGAGTTGAGAGAGACAGGCTTACGGTTGAGGCGGGCGGAGGAGGAAGAAAGAGTGGAGATCGGCTGAAGGGGAGAGCTTGGAGTAAAGCCATGCTTTCTGCTTGATAAGCTTTTCTATGGATTGATTATGGCGATTGGCTCTTTAATTTCTATGAAAAGTGGGATTCATTTTGAAGATAAATTTCATTAATTTGTATTTTTTTTTTTGCATTGGATTGATGATCTAAAATTAGATTTTTTTTTAAATCATAAAAAAAATCTTAACGAACAAAAATATAGTATTTTTTTTTAATTTATCTTTCGTTCATATCTTTTCATATATGCTTGTGCAAATGTGTTATAACTTGGACCGTTCGGTCTAGGCACTTCCACAAACCAACGAAACGTGCGATCCATCCCCCTATTCGCACGCAACAGGGCCGCCGAACCGTTCCTGCCTTCACACACGAGATCCAACCGACCATCATGTTCCCTTCTTTGCACACTAGTAGCAACTGAACTAGCAGCCATGATCCCCTTTGTGCAAGACCAGAGCCACTTGATCGTTCGCCTCATCTCATGACCAACCAATATCCAGCTCGGATTCTCCCACATTGCTGCCTCCCTCTCGCCATATAAGCAAATTGGAAGCTTAGGGCATCAAATTTGCTCCCCCTCTCCTGCAGCGGCCACCAAATCTTTCTATTTTTCATCCTCTTTGTTCCTTTCTCTCAAACAATAGCCACAAACCTCTCTCTCTCTCTCTCTCTCTCTTTTACATTACTTGGATTCTCCCTATCATAGCCGCCATCAGAGGAGGTTTTCAGCCTTCCATCTCCTTCAATTGCCAACATTAAAGAGAAATCTTCATTTACAATAAGTATATTTCTCTCCATCTTCTATTGTAAGTTTTTTCCTCATCATTTTTCCGTCAGCTAAAGAATTTGGTGATGATGATTAACTTATATATTTTGATAGATTGAATTGAGTAAGATTTTAAATAGTTAAACTTATTAAAATTAGGCTTGAATAGTAATTTTGTGTGGAGGTCATTAAGTTTAAAATAATGAATCTTATATTTTAAGCATTAGTTCATTATCATTATATTAGAATTTTATTTCTTGTAGAACCTTCGAGTCATTCCCCTTGTCAGTTGAATATCATATAAGCTTCGAGTTTTGTGTTGCTCACATAAAGGTAGTAACTATTATTTATTTTGGTGTAAACATATCCTTCTTTCTTATGGGTGTAATTTGTGATAATTGTATTAGGTTGCTTTATAATTATTTAGATTGTTAATTATATATTTAACTTTTTAGCATGATCAAACAAGTAACAAATATTCAATATTACTCATAATGAATTAGAAAGCTTCATAAATATAATAATCTTGTTTTATTGTTGCATAACTTCATTTATATTGATTTTGTTTTTTTTCATGCATGTTCTTGTTTGAATGCAATAAACGTTATATTGACAAACCATATTAGCTTTGTTTTTGTAGCTCATGATAATCTTGTTAGAAATCATATTGATTATACATATTATAATAGTCAAGTTGAATTATGTATCACCCGTTAATTATTTGTAACAATGCTTGCAGTGTATGATTATGTATATGTCAATATAACTCTATTGGTTTTTGGTTAGTCAGTGTCGACGGACCCCCATAGCAATGACTCTACAAGAAATCACTAAATTTCTTTGGGTTGATGTTTACCTTCTCAGCATGAGTATAGGATAAATCAACAATCAATATATATATATATATATATATATATATATATATATGTGGACATGAATTAGGCCGAAGTCCTCGATCGGCCTGGACGATGCTTACAGAAAAACACCTGGAGCAAATCTGGGCAAATTCTGGAACAGATTCTCAACTGATCGTCCCAGGACGATCCCAGATCGTCCTGGACGAACCTGGAGCAGATTTTGATATTACATTGTGTCTGTTGTATATGCGTTCTTCTATTTGTGAATGCAAAACATACATTTTTATCCCTTCATCGCATCTCGTGCCACTGAGTTGTATCACGTTTCGGACCATGGGTGTGAGAAAATGCACTTACACTAATGTTAAACATCTCATAGAATATGAATAGCACAATGAGGCATTATCACATCTTTATGGTTATGTTAACCCATTCGAGTGTTGGATTGTAGATCTTAACATTAAGGGTGTTAGAACAGGTTGACGGGTTGCGTTCAACCCAAAATTAACTCGACACAGATCTAATCAACCTGAAAATGACCAGCTAGCAACCCTGAATGACCTAAATGTTATATGTTAACCCATTTTGGTTTAAATTTTTTATGACTTATTAATTATAAAGTTTAGAATATTTTATAAAAAAATAAAAAGATTATAGTCAAAGTAAAAGTAAAAAAAAATTAAGAAAAATATATATTTTAATATCATGTTTGTATTTAATTTATTAAGTAAAAGAGCTTATAGAAAAAAAAACAAAACTAAATCAAAGCTAATTATGGAGTGAGGTTATTAATATATTTAGTTATCGGCCGTTTGGCATTATCATTATTATTTGCTTCCTTAAAATACAATCTAAGCCCAACTAGACTTTTTTGGACGGTTCCAATCCACTTAGAAAAAGTTTTCTTTCTTGGTGTGAAGTCCACTCAAAGGGACAGCACTAAGAGAGACAAATTTTTAAACCAACCATATAATTGCAAAACCAATTGACTTTGTGGGCTCCACTTGCAAGCCAACCCATTTATATTTGTATTTTAAAATAATCAAATTATAATTAGATTATTGAATTTTTTTTACTCAAATGGAGCAACATATGGCTCGTTGGGCCGCAGACTAACGCCTATGAAGTTATCAATCGATTGCTATCTAATATGTGCTAATGTCGAGTGTTTATCAACAATTGAAATTGGACGCTCATCTTTTTTATCTTTCTATATTTTCTTTTATATAGTGTTTGCGAAAGTGTGAATTAGCTATACCGATTCCAAGAAGCAAGAGAGGAGAAAGGAGACAGGTTGTAGAAAACAGAACTTCTTTCTTTGATATATTTAGAGAAATACAAGAAAAGCCCGAAAGCTCTAGAGTACATCTGGTTTCATACACTACATTACAGAAAGGCCAAACCTCTGTTTATAACACTATTAATAAGTAAAACTAACAGGAGGATAAGATAAAACGAAGAAACAAAATAGCTACGATTAGACCAAATACTAACATAGAGAGTAAGTGAGATGCACTTCCACCAGTATCTGATGATACAATATACAGTCTATTAACCGTTGGAATTTGACACTCATCTTCATGAACGTTCATTCTTCTCTTATATAGAGAGAGTTGTAAGATGATCGTCCACCAATATTTAATGACACCATAGATATCTAAGGTTCGTATTTTCATTAATTCGTACAAAATAGTACTTTATATATTCCATAATTCAAATATATAATATATTAATATTTTCTCTAATTATGAAGTAGTATTTATAATATACTTTATATTTTTTCCTTTTTATATTATTCATTAAAAAAAAAAGCTCATATCATATGATCTACTTTTAACTTATACAATTATGCTTACACAATTTTTTAATTCTAAAATTATAAATTCTCTCTATTCTGTCACAATTATTCTAATAAGAATATTTTTAATATACGATTTATATAATAAATAATTATGAAACACATCAAAATCAATTCGGATTCGGATCCGAGGAAAGGGAACATGACTCCGCAACTACCAGTTTCGCGCATAATAAAAAAAGAAAGAAAAAAACACCGGGAAAACCTATAGTAGCTGTAATCAATTCTTCCCCACTCTTTCTCTCTCTACTGAAAATCCCTCGAGTACTCACTACCAGATCCCGAACTCTCTTTCGATCTACAGATTTCCAGCTTCAACGCTCTTCACTTTGTTCATTTCTCTGTCACCGTAGTTGCTACACCGCTGTCGTCGAGGTACTTCGTCACTGCATTCTTCTTCACAAGTTACTCTTTGTTTTTTGCTCATTTGTTTTCATTGTGGTGAATTCGAACTGTAGGAATGTTTGGATCAGAAAGGAGTTATGTGGCGTGATTAAGTATTTGGAACGTATATTTGTATTATGCAGAGCTGAAAATTGTTCTGTGATCATTTTAGGGTTGTTTTTTGAAGTATTGAAGTATGCTTTTGTGATGGTGAAGTTTTACTTTGGCTTTTTAAATGATTTTTGAGTTGTTTGATTCTATTGAGGATTAAGATGAAATTAAATGACGGGGAAGCGGAATGTTCTGTGTGGATATGGTACGGTTTTTGTGTTTTGGTTTTAGGGTAAGTCTTGATGGTGGTGCATTTGACGTCATTTTCCTTGTAATTCTCAGCTGAATTTGTCTTCTGATTCCTTCTTTGTCAATATGTTATCGCGATACCGTCTTGTTCGTGTCACATTGGAGCAATTTGCTTGTTTGATCTTCTTATTCCTTTTTTAAAATGGAATTTTGCTTTTGATCTGTTTTGTATGGTGAAATGCCTTTTTCTATATAAACAACGCAGTCTCTTTCTTGCTCATTTTCCTCATTTAACTCTGCCATAAAATATGAGACCCGTCTTGGTGTAGTGGTTGGGTGCTTTGGCTCCAACCACAAGATCTTGGGCTCGTGGCTTAGTATATATAGTTTTGTTGTGTGCGTGAGTTTGGGATTAAATTGTCTCTATGTCCCAACACTTTTTTTCCCATCAAATAGCTTCAATGGGGCAGCATTTTGTTTGCTTTTGTGGTAAGAAAATCAATTAACAAATAGCAGTGCTTTTGTGGATGAAAATGCTGGATTAGTTTGCCCCTATTTTTCTCATAATTTTCTTTAGAAATACGCTTTTGGGAAAACAAAATATAAAATGTGACTGAGAAACTATTTAAAAAAAATTCTAATTGCAAAAATGGAAAATTAGAAGCTTGCCCAAATGAAGCCCTGCTAATCTTTTGTCAACTACCGATCATGCTAACATGAAAGTAGCTGTGTTTTTATGCAGGGAGGTTGTTGAATTCAGTCTAATGGCGAAGCCTAGGTCTTTTTCTTCCAATCAAGAGTCCTCTCCTATGTCTGTGAAATCTAAGGATTGGGACAATTTATCTAGATGGTCTGAGTACCTTAATCTCGAAGAACCTTTTGCCTCATCATCCACAAGCTGGAAGCATGCTGTTTCTGAAGCACATCCAAGTTCTGGAATTTTCCAAAAATCACTTCAAATGGAGTGGGTTGTCCAACTTTCCAAGGTTGCAGAGGGTTTATTGTGCAAGATGTATAGGTTAAACCAAATCCTGGAGAAACCTGATTTGGCATCTCACACATTTTCTGAATCTTTCTGGAAAGCTGGTGTATTTCCCAACTTACCCCGAATATGTGTACTTTTGTCAAAAAAATTTCCAGAGCATCCTAACAAATTGCAGCTGGAGCGTGTAAGCAATCTGCCATAATTGAATTAGGTGACTTCTTTTTTATAGTCTCTTCCTTATTAAGAATTACATTTTCAGGTTGACAAACTTGGTCTGGATCATTTGAATGACAATGCAGAAGTATACATTCAGAACCTGGAAACATGGATCACGGTATAAGTCATATTTATGGCTCCCAAAAAAAAATTTATGAGTACTTTTATGCTTTATCTACAAAAGTTATTTAGCTATGATTGCACCTTTTATGTTTAACTCAACGCTGTCCAATAAAATACTGTTACCCTGCTGAAGTCTACTTCAAATTAATTCCTTATTTAACTTAATGTGAAATAGCTGATAAAAGTACTTAAAGACATCCACCTGAATACTTGAATTTTTTTTTTCTTCTACTGATTAAGTATATCTTAAGATGGAGATTGAGGTTGGTGGAATAAACTGGCTATCCAAATTTCCAAACATAATTGTTTTCTTCGTTAAATTCTCCAATGAAACTTAAAATTTCCATGAATTAAATAATTCAAGTTTATTTGCTTTAAAAAGTTACCCTGCATATCAGGGAGTTTGTGTTCTTGTTACCTTTAGGTCTTAATGGAGGCAAAATAGTCATTGCTTCAGTCCACCCTCAAGTTTATCACACATTTTTGTTTACTTTAAGTATGGCTACTGACATTCAATTGAAAATTTTCGTTAATACCTATGTATCAACAAGGAGTATAAAAACATTATTATTTCATTTGCAAAAAGTGTTGAGAAAAGGGGTGACTATATGCATAAGGCTACTGCAATGTGAAGTTCTTTGTAAAAATGTCTTAATAGCATTGCTGTGTAGTGCTAGAATGCATGATGAGTCAAGGAACTTCATTAACTATCGAGAAAGTCACAAAAAGCATTTTATTATCAGATTATTTTATGCTTTAGGACTCCTTAAAAAAAATGTATATGTTCTATCTCAGACAAATATTACTCCTATAATTAAGTTGTAGAATCAGTAGTCATGTGATTATCTCTTGTTAATTGTTTCTCAAGATTGGAAGTTGGTAAGCATGCTTCAAGTGTTACTTTTAGAGATGTTTGAAATTGCTCATAATTCATTATCTTTTGTTATTTTGATTTTGGTTTGTATGAATTGGATTAGTTAGATAAGGATGGCACTTCATAATAGATAATCAGAAATTACCATCATGGATACTCTGTTCATTCGATCGAGTTTTTGCAACCTCTGTTTTCAGTATTCCTTATGGTGTAAGTTCAATCAGAAGTGATTTTAATATATTTGCCGAAATCTTTAGCTTCTACTTGATTTGATGGCATTTCGGGAGCAAGCATTGCGTCTTATTCTCGATTTAAGCAGCACAGTGATAACCTTGTTAGTAAGTATTTATTCTATTATCATCAAGATCTATGAAGTCATTCAAATTTTGCATGTATATCTTTTCTAACCTATGCTTTTTTAATGCAGCCTCATCAAAATTCTCTGATCCTACATGCTTTTATGGATCTGTTTTGTTCCTTTGTTCGTGTGAATCTATTTTCTGAGAAGGCAATGTTCCAAAATTTGTCTATAATGGTTTAAATTCCAATCAATTTTTAGAATTAATGCTTCTAATGAAACATATCATAGAATAACACAGTTATTCCTTAGCTTATGTTTTCTAACATAGGTGATTTTTTTTTCTCATTCAGATACCAAGGAAAATGATTATACAAGTTTATGATCTCTTATACACCATAACTAAGGGTGGACGTGATTGTGAGTTCTACCATCGGTGGGTGAACGCTTATTTTAAGCATCTCATATAGATTCACTTCTTTAGCATGTATAATATCTTAGATTGTTTGGATAGAAGAGAACTTCCATTCCTAATGGTTAGAAGATGTGTTGAACAATATCCTAAAAAGGTAAAAATAAAAAGAAAAAGGAATGAGTTCCTATTGGTTAGAAGATGTGTAGAGAATGTGGACAACTGCCTCCGTTTCTCTCTAATCAAAACTCCTATGTACCCATCACAGTTGTATGAAAGCTTTATTTCTTTGTTTTTTTCATTGATGCTAAGCATTTTCCCTTTCCTCCATGTTTATATTCTAATCATGGACATTGAGTATGTCGGATATTAGAAATCACCTTTCTCCATTAATCTTTACTTGGTCTTCATGGATTGGGGTTTGATTTTATGCTTTCCTCATTTTTTGAATTATAGTTTATTGTGAAGATACTAGCATTGGCCATTGTTTATAGAGAAGATAATATTGACATTTCAATCTTAAATTTAACATACAACGTTGTGCCTTACATATAACTTTGTGCCTTGCTTGATAGTACTGTAACCATTAAGTTATTTTCAATGGATTGCTCTGCTGTGCATCTATGATTTGATTTTGCATTCGTCAAAAATATGTCCAATAGTCATTTGAAAACTCATCTATAATTGATTTGAGCTACAATGTATAAATATTTCTTATTTTTGGCTAAAAGGATAGGAAGGGTGGTTGCACATGATTAGGGTATCTTGTAGAAAATTTCATATTTTGAATTTGAACACACTTGGAAAAATAGTTTGGAAAGATTTTTCTGTCCTCCATTGAATTATGACTGGATGATTAAAATTGAGAGGTACCTCTAGAGTTTTGTTTGATTAGAGAATATCATGGGGTTTTAATGTTAAAGTTTATAAAATTAGAAATATAAATAAAGGAATGATTATATTAGATGAAAAAGTTGGAGTGATATCTATTGAAGATAAGATGATTTAAATTTGATTTAGATGGAATGAACATGTGCAATTAAAGGCTAGAAGATTTATTTATTAGATGAGCTAATAAAATTGATGTTAAAAGATTATAAAAAAAGGGATAGACCTAAGGTTACATGGATAGAAGCCATGCATGCATGTCTTTATGTTGTGCTTGAGACTTGTCAATGTCTTTTTGTTATTTAGTTTAAGTTTATTTCATGCATTCAAATGATGATTTAGTTATTATATCCTCATTGGCTCCTTTTGTAGATTGGTGATAGGTTTATTTTGCTATTGAATGATTAATAAAATAAAATTCCCTTGGACAAATTAGTGCAACCCATTTAGGATATATTCTTTTGGTGTTTGTTGTTGAGTGCTTGGAGACATCTTTTTGAAGTTCATTCATTTCCTTTATTCTCCATCTCCTTCATCGGTTGTTCACTTGTTCTTACCCCATTCGGTCCTCTCACCATGTTTATCTATTCGGGGGTGGTGGTTGGGGGAACATATTTCTCTGATTGATTATAAATTTGATCATTTGTTTCATTAATAATCTGCCTTTTCTTATAAGATATTAAGTTATATTCATTTTCTGATATTCTATTTTTCACTTTGACAGATTGGTTCAGTTTGTTGATTCATTTGACCCCCCAGTTAAGGGGTTGCAAGAAGACCTTAATTTTGTTAGCCCTCGTATTGGAGAAGTCATCTACCAACCCAGTCTTCTCTTTAGTATTTCATGCATCTTAATACGCTTAATGGCCTTATAAAAAGTTACTTCTTATATTCATTTGGTTAATGTTTGCACCTGTTATTTAGAGCTTTGTTATCTCTTCTTGCAAAGTTTCATATGACTTTTTAAAGCAAAATATAGTTATGTTCATTTGAGTATCTTGTACTTGGATTGCTCTGGTTAGCTATCCTGCTTATAGTGTTTGGATTTGCTTTCATATTAAGTAGAAAATAATGTTCTTGATTGTATGGAATGCTATATATGTTTTGTTACACCATCAACTAGTTTAACATAAGCAAGCCAAATGTAGCTCTACTGGTAATAACAAAAGGACTTTAAGCTTCTGATAATTTGTTTAAGGGTTTTTAACTTTTAGCTCATAAATAGTTATATTTCTTTGTTCAGGAGTTAGCACTCAAACTGTTGCTTTACATATTCAGCACCTTATATGAAGTCAATCAAGCTATCTATTGCTTAAGAGTCACGTTTAATTTTGTGCACTTTATGTAAGCGTCAAGCAGTTTTGATTAATATGAAAGCAGTGAGGACTTAGTGCTAAGCTTTTAACACATTTTGTGTATCATATTTGAAAATGTTTTTTAATAATGCTTTAAATTTTTGCTGTTTTGACATTATGATTAACTTAGTTACAATGTTCTCTCAGAACTTGTAGAAGCCGTCACCCAACATAAATAGAATCAATCAATAAGCAACCTCTGCCATTTAATAGTTTATCATCTTCATCAATCTCGAGCATCTCATCCCTACCATTTGGGATTGGATTTGTAAATCTGCTTTTTTCATTCACTTCTATAGAGTGCTACAGGAGGAGTTATTTTTTTTTTCTCGGGCCTTTTGCATGACTTCTTAACATGTTACAATTACTTTACCCCTTCTCCTAACTAATATGCTAAAACAAATTTTATTTATCCGCCTTATTTATGTTTGTTCAATCTTTCATTATAAATTTCCTTTAATACCTAGGGGTGCCAATTATTGACTCGACCCGAACCCGACCCAGAAATTCAAGTTCAGATCAACCTTTTTAGTTCGGGTTTCAATTTATGACCCGTTTGAAAAATTGGGTCGGGTCCGGGTCAACCCGCTAATTCGAATTTGACATGAGTTCCGGCTGGCACCCGCATTCTCATGGCTCGCACAAGCTCCGCTGCACTGCCTGCACGTTCTCACCCGCACAGCAGCAGTGCGTGCGTCGCATCGCCCGCAACTCGTGCTCGCACCCAACACCCATGCTCGCACCCCACACAGCCCGCACCGCACACCTCACCCTCTCCCGTGTGCGCCGCACACCTCCCAGACTCTCACCCGAGCTTGCCCAGTCACCCCTGTGGCTTGCTGCCCTGCTCGGAACCCATGTTAGCGGGTTGGGTTGGGTCAACTCGATAACCCAATGGGTCGGGTCCAGGTTTGAATTCCTGACACATTTGCCTAATCAGGTCAAGTTTGGGTTGGATTGATTGAAGCGGGTTAGTTTCGGGTTAGGCCTGAACCCGTCCTGAAAACTCATTTTGACACCCCTATTTATACCTAAATGTAATTTTCTTCTGTTTATTTTCAATAGATGTCACTTCCATCTTCTCTATAATATAATAATTGCTAACGAATGTGCTTTTAGTTTTTGCACATACTCATCTTTAAGATGTCATTTTAACCATACTCAACTTGATTTTCATTAATTTGTCAATTTAACAAAATTGATGAATTCGTTTTTCAATGAATGAGCGTCTTAAATACCTCAGATGTCACGATACTTAACTTATTAGTAACAATGCCCATGCAAACGCACTTTGATTTAAGAAAAAACAATGCCTTAAAAATTGAAGTATTTTCCTCCATTAATGTATTTTCTCATATTCTTCTTTTATCATATTGGATATCACCACTCAACCATCATCATCATTATCATTTGTTTGCTGTAACGCTTTTTGGTTGGTCTTACTAATCCTTCTTCATTCAATCCAATTAAGAATTGCAGGTAGTGTCAACTTTAGTTTATGCAAGCCTTTTTGCTTAACCTTTCGGCATACTACTTTACATCTGCCTTATTTCGTTCCCATTCCTTCTAAATTTACATATATACACACATATATATATATGTATGTATATACATACATATATTCTTTTTGAGCGGATCTAAAACCGAATACATGAAGCGTAATTTTAGTAGTAATAGATCTAGTGGGTGGATTGTGACTTTGGGCAATGAAGTCATTAATAAGAGTACGCGTTTTAGATATCTCGGGTCCATTGTTCAAAGTGATGGTGAAATAGATGTGGATATTATTAGTATAATTCAAGTTGGAAGAAGTAGAGGAATGCATTGGGCCTATTGTGTGATAGAAAAGTATCCCTCATGCTTAAGAGAAAATTCTATAAGATGGTGGTGAGACTTGCAATATTTCAAGGTGCAAAATATTGGCCATTAAAAGAGAAGCATAAAATTAACCCAAGTGTTCTAGAGATGTGGATGCTCAAGTGTATGAGTGGCTTCACTCTTATAGACATAATGCGAAATGAGTATCTACATGAAAAGTTTGGAGTAGCTCTAGATAAGACTATAGAGAGTCGCCTTAGATGGTTTTTACACATTGAACGTCGGCCTTCCGATGACCCGATTAGGAGAGTAATATATTAGCTATGATGCACTGACACTCCGCTTAAAGAGGGTATGCAGTGTCGGACACGGACACTCGTCGAGCACGGCATGGACACGTGTCCGACACGGCATTGGAGTGTTGCAATTTAAAAAATTAAAATTAAAATCGTACACGCGTGTCCAATTATTAAATGATAAAATCGTCCCTTCTATTTAGTCTTTTCCGCGAACAAGAAGCCCTATTTTTCCGATCCACAAAAGAAATCTTTTAGGGAGGACCGGGAGAGCTCGCAGTGGACGCCAAATAGAGCCCGCTGCCTTCGCCTCCCGTTCCTTCGTCATTTCTGCTCGAGCCGAGGCCAAACAGAGCTCGTCTTTCCCATTCCTTCGTTCTTGCGTGATTTCTGCGGTCATCCGAGGCAAAGTCCGTAATCAAGGCCAAACAGAGCACCTTCTGCGTTCAAGAGAGCCAAGATTTGTAAGTGGATTTCGTCATTTCTTTTCTTCATTGTTGAAAAAGCTAATGTACATGCTCGGTACCGCTCAGCATCGCTAGGTACCCGCTCGGTACCTCTCAGTACATGCTCGGTACCGCTCAGTACATGCTCGGTACTGCTCAATATATGCTCGGTACCGCTAGGTACATACTCGGTACTGCTAGGTACATGCTCGGTACCACTCGGTATCTTCCCATACAAAATTATCAGGTCGAATCCCGCTAGGGGGCAACGCCCCCTTGGACCCCCTAGCAGACCAGTATATTGTTGTATTCATGTTGTCTTGTTATTGGGATATTTTGATTTCACTTCATATCAATTTAATTCGATGTATTCATATGTATGATTGGTTTGTTAGCAAAATGAGCTCTGGTGCTGGCGGGAGTGGATTAGGTGAAGGTTCAAAAGAGTCGTTTGTAGAAACTGATAAGCCGTTATGGATTCATGTTACAAAGTTAGGAAAAACATTTGAAGGAGGAGGGAATGTGTCATTCAAATGCAATTATTATGGTGGCACCTACAAAGGATCTTATTCTAGGGTGAAGGCACATTTACTTATAATTTCTGGCCATGGAATTAAAATGTGTCCTAAGATTACTACGTCGCAGTTAATTGAATTGAACAGACAAGTTGATGAAGCTGAATCTAGGATCCAAAGGATACTCCCTAAAGAGATACCTTTGCCATCTACTCATGGCTCATCCCACACTTCTTCCTTATCTGTGAGAGTTGATCAAGCTTTATCATTTAGAAGTGAATGATATGAAACAAAGAAAAGAAAAGGAGTAGCCAGTAGTCATCTAGAGAAGGCTTTTAATTTGCAGCAGTGAGGGAATTGGATGGTGAAATAGCAATGATGTTTTTTTTTTTCAACGGGCCTTCCTTTCAACCTTGTAAGGAATCCTCATTATAAAAATGCATTCATTTTTGCAAGTAACAACAATCTCGCAGGATATGTTCCACCTGGCTATAATGCATTAAGATTGAAATTATTGGAAAGAGAAAGAACACATATTGAGAAGATGATGTTGGGAAGGTAAGGTATGTTAAAGATAAGGTCTTAGATGATTTGTGGTGGGATAATGTAGACTACATTTTGGCTTTTACTGATCCAATTTATGATATGTTGAGAGAGGCTGACACAGATAAATCATGCCTACATTTGATTTATGAGATGTGGGATTCTATGTTAGCAAAAGTGAAAGAAATTATATACAAACATAAAAGAAAGTCACATGATGAAGTCTCAAGTTTTTGTAGTGTTGTCTATACTATTCTTGAAGATAGGTGGAGCAAAAGCAACACACCTTTGCATTGTTTGGCTCATTCATTAAATCTAAGGTATATTTATATTCATCTTTTAAATTAATTGAAATTTGTTGGTAAATGAATAGATAATTTCATATGCTTTGTATTATTTGAAGGTATTCAAGTAAAGAATGGCTTTAAGAAGACCCTCAATGTGTCTCTGTTAGACCGGTCCACTGGACCGGTCCAGCCGGTCCACGCGGGACCGGCAGTTCGCAAAAACAGCCAGATCTCCGCCTCCTGCGGAGATCGGGCGGCCCGTCCGCTCAAATAGAGCTTTTTAGGAAGCGTTTTTTAGGGTTTTGAGAGGGAAATTTGAATGTAGGGACTGTTTTGGGATTTCCTTTTGATTTGTATGCATTAAATAGATGTTTTTCCTAGGGTTTGGGCATCTTGAATTTGGTTGAAATTTGAGATCTCTTAGATTTAGGTTTTCTTTGGGCTCTAGCGGCATCTAGAGATTTGGGAGAGATCGATCCTCCTCTCAAATTGAGGATCAATTGTATCTTTGCTGTTTTATTCATCTACTAGTGAAATACAAGAGTTTTTCTTCGTTTTTTCTCAGAATTCTAGCGAAGATCTCCTATTTTCCTCTGTTTTTGGGCTATTTCCTGCTGTGGACAGCAATAAATCTACTGTAGTTTACTGATTTTGACTAGGAACACTTGTGAATACAAGTGTTTCCTATCAGTCTCACCACAAAAAGATTTAGAAGTTTCAAATATGAGAAAGATATGCCTGAAAATATATTTCTCAAATGAGGAGAGAAGAAAAATTAATTAGAACTTGCAAAGTTCTTTGGATATTTAGAGGATTTTGGTGATCAAGAATCTTTGGTTGATAGATGGAGGATGGATCCAAAAATGTGGTGGTTGATTCATGGAGCTTCAACACCGCTTCTTTAAACAATATCAATAAAACTTTTTGGTCAAGTATCATCCTCTTACTTTTGTGAGAGAAATTGGAGCACATACTCATTTATTCAATCAATGAAGAGGAATAAAATAACTCCACAACGTGCTGAAGATTTAGTTTATGTGCATACAAATTTTCGTCTTCTATCAAGGAAAATCCCACTTTATATGACAAGTGATAACAAGATGTGGGATGTTGCTGGAGATGGGTTCGAGTGCCTTGATGATATGGGATTATTAGAGGTTGCAAATCTTTCTCTAGATGAACCAGAGTTGAAAGCAATGATATTCAATGATGATGATATTGAAGGCCAAAGACCAACATCTGAATCTAATTCTATCATTCCCTCTATTGAGTAGTTGGATCTTCATGTTGTACTAATTGGTTTTTTGCTTATATTTTTGTGGTTGTACTAGACATTTTGTACTAAACATCTTTATGTTATAAGCTAAACAAATTATCATGAAATTGATTTATTATTGCTTGTCATTTTTACTATAATGTCATCTTAATTTATATATATTACATTAAAAAATTATTATGCCGTGTCCATGCCGGACCTGTGCCCTATATTTTCTAAAAATGCCGTGTCCCGTGTCGTGTCGTGTCCGTGTCGCCGTGTCCGTGTCGGTGCATCATAGTATATTAGATTTGACCTATGTTAAGAAAGATAGCGGTAGATATAAAAAGGTTTGGTTAGAAAATATTAGAAATGATATTTTTTGTTAGATTTAAATGAGAATTTGACTCGTAACAGGACTCAATGGAGAAAAAAGGATTAATATAGCAGATCGCACGTAGTGGGATAAATGCTTGATGTTGTTGTAATTGTCCTGTTTGTTTCATCTTCTTTCATTGGTTCCAAACATCATATCTATTCTTGCCATCTTTTGCCACTTAGCCAACATTTCTTAGTATTGATGTTCTGATATGCACATTAATCCAATCTATTACAAAATTATGCAGCTGGATAATAAGTTGCGCTTACATTTATAAAAGGCACGTGATCTAACTAAAAGGTTAATTTAACAGAGTTAATTAGCATTTGGACTACAGCAGACAAACTTCTGCTGAAAATTAAGTCTTCTGTTGGTAATTATTTGTTGAATTATGTTGTAAGAAATGTTTTCGCTAATCTTGTAGATATGGCCAAACTGTCTCGATAGTGCATTTTCCTTTCATTGCTGGCCATGGAGAAGAGGTCAAGTTTATTAGAAACTGATTTTGAATCTAAATGAAAGATTTAGTTGTTTTTTTACCCCGCAAGGATTCAAACATTAGACCACACTTTAGTCAATATCACTCAACCAAGTGTAGATGCAAATCCTAGTGCTTCCATTTCAGACAGTCTCGAGTCTCCATTTTGAACATAGTTTATTTTATTTGAATTCTAATCACTTTCTGTCTTCTTAATTGCAGGTGCTTGAAGCGGTAGGCCCGATTATTTTTCTTTCTACTGATACTAAAAAGTTGCGGAATGAAGGATTTTTAAGTCCATTTCATCCTCGTTATCCTGATATACTTACAAATTCTGCTCATCCCATGGTTGGTCTATCACCTTTGAAATCTTGCTCGTGAACTTCTTATGCCTGGATGTTGTTCACTTTGAGTTTTTTTCTTATTTATTATAATTTTTTATTTGTTTAACTTTGTTCCTTCTCCTTTATACTTACAGAGAGCCCAGGATCTAGCTAATGTTACAACATATCGTGAATGGGTTCTGTTGGGTTATCTTGTTTGTCCTGATGAGCTGCTTCGGGTTACAAGTATCGATATTGCTATGGTAATGTTTACCATTTTATTTATGACCAAAGTTGCTGGAAACTAGTTTCTCTTTATGACTCTACAAATATATATTTATTATTTCTAACTTGAAATATGGGCATGCTAACAATACTTTTTAGTGAATGTAGCAACTGTATAATATATGCTTTCTATTTTTTTTAATGTTCTTAAATCCGCAGTTACATTGCCATGAATTCTTAGGATGCTATTGTCTCAACTCTCAAGTAATTCTCGTTTTTTGTTTTTATATTTTGTACTTACAATACATTAATTAAAAGTTTTGTCTAATAGTGGGAGTGAGTTATAATCAGTGGATATAATTTTTTTCTAAATTATAGTAGCATAAAGTAGTTTATAAGACAATATGTATGCTTGTTATTATAGATAAATTATTATAAAATTAACTGACAGTTTATTTTAATTAAAAATGACAATGTAAGGGGTTTTGAAATATTCAATAACATGAATAAAAAGAAACCATGTCATAATATCAATTTCCTTTGTCATCTTACGTGTAGGTATATCAATGTCCCCAATTAGTACCATAAGGAGATGACTTCTATTAACATGCATATGCATTTATTTTTATATAATCATTTCATTTACATTTTTCATGTCATTCCACATGTTTATGTAGTAAACATTATATGACATATGATAAACAATTGAAGCATAATAAGAAATCTATGATTCATTTCAAAATAACCAATTTTTTTCATAACAAAGATAAATCATGATTGAATTTGCAATAATGGTTTATTAAAAAAATATATTAATAATAATTGATGCATTTGATTTAGAAGAAGCAACATTGTCACTATAATGATAGGACTTGAACCCAAAAAATAGTGAAATTTTCACTAAAATAGCACCCAAATATGGGAAAACACTAATACAACTTCATTAAATCAAAGAAAACAACAAATATAACACACCCAAACAAGAAAACAACAAGACAAGTCTTAAAAATAGAGAACAACAGCACTACAACACAATACCGAGAAGAAAGATAACTTTAATACTTTTCGAGAGGTATATCAACTCTCCCACGCAAGAAACTCGGAACCTGCACTAGAGCAATAACCTCCCCCCTCCTCCAAGCAGCTCTCC